AAGAAGGAAGAATTATAGGACGATCAGCAAGGTAGTACACTTTCATAATAGTTTAGAAAGTGAGAAGAAGTTGGTTAAAGAAATTTTGAGCAGTTACACAATTGCAGATTAAAAATAATTTTAGCAGGCAAATTTACCTGCTGGATGGTTTAAGGGATAATCTTAAATAAAGCTCAAGACTACACATATTAAATTCAAATAAAGCTCAAGAATACAACTGTTGAATTGAAATTAAGGCTTAAGACTATATAGTATAATCTTAAATAAAGCTTAAGACTACAACTGTAGAATTAGAATTAATGTTTAAGACTATGTAGTATAGATTCCGATTTACCTTAAATAAAGCTCATGACTACATAGGTTAATTTGAGGTTACTTTAAAATAAAGCTCAAGACTACACATGTTAAACTTAAGTTACCTTCAAATAAAGTTCAAGACTATATAGTATTGATTCCGATTTACTTTAAATAAAGTTTAAGACTATGTAATATTGATTCCAATTTACCTTAAATAAAGCTCATGACTATATAGGTTAATTTGGGGTTACTTTAAAATAAAGCTCAAGACTACATATGTTAAACTTATGTTACCTTCAAATAAAGCTTAAGACTATATAGTATTGATTCCAATTTACTTTAAATAAAGCTTAAGACTATATAGTATTGATTCCAATTTACCTTAAATAAAGCTCATGACTACATAGGTTAGCTTGGAGTTACTTTAAATAAAACTCAAGACTATACATGTTAAACTCAAGTTACCTTCAAATAAAGCTCAAGACTATGTAGTATTAATTTTGATTTAACTTAAATAAAGCTCAAGACTATGTAGTATTAATTCCAATTTACCTTAAGGGGTGTACTAAAAATCATCTGATATTCATTTACTATAGGGCCAACTTCACTTCCCATCTAATAATCCTTATTAGGAATATTAAAATTTTTTAATTTATGGTTCATTAGATTTCTCTTGTCAAGATAGATATTTTTTAATATTACAAATTTAACAATTAAATAGTTAGATTAATTAGATTAATTAAATAATTAATAGTTAGAATAGATAAATGATTAATAGTTAGATTAGTTAAATAATTGATAGTTAAATAAATAAAAATAAAATTAATAAATAAACAAATTTTTTTAATTCTTTGATTTTTTAAAAAAATTTAAACGAACAATCAAATTATTTGTCATATACTGCATAATATATTTATTATATAAAGTGACACTAATGTGTGATATATTGTAGATCTTGAATATAAAAATAACACGTTTTTCGTGTTTTTCGTGTTTTATATTCTTTGCATTCTCTAAAAAAAAATAATTAAACATGTAAAGCTTTTTGAAAACATCAAATTTTAACAAAGATTTTTTTTATAAAATACCTCGAGACTTATATCAAGAGTTTTGTAATACGTACGCATATTACAAACAAGTCTTACTATGTGATTCAAAATCAAACCGCCAAAAATTAATAAAAGAATGTACAACTATTTAGAAAGAAAATAAACACAATACTAATTTTATTAAAGATTTAATTTCTGATTATTATGAAACTATTTTTTCTACCCTTCGCTCTTTTCAAAAACTTTTTTTTTCACGTAATACACCCATTGTTTCTGATCACACCAGTCACGTTCACCACACTTCCATTTTAACATCCGCAGGATTAATTGATCTTATAACAATATCAAAAAATGCCATTTCACAATATGATACGGTTGAAAAGATCAACCTAGCTACAAAGAATATATCTAAGTATCAACAAATTTTAGAAATTATCGCAGATGTTTCACTACAAGATATATTATTATTCAAAATTAATGAAAAACAAAAGGCCTTATTAGAGCAAAGTAATCGATTAAGAAAATTGAAACGCCATGTTGAAGCATAAGCAAAACTTGAAGCAAAAAAAAAAATTTACTTGAAGAATGAATTGTAGAAAGATATAATATTCTGAGAAGACCATCTGCAGTTATAAAAGATCTAAATTTATGGGATAAGATTCATAATTGCATCGAATTTGGATCTGCTCATGCTAAAAGGAAAAAAGAAGTAATTAAAGTTTGTACAGTGAAGTATTTACAAAAATCACTTAAAGAAAAATATAATATTTACCTATCTCGTCAATACTTATTAACTTATCTTCAACCCTGTCACCAAAATACTTTTGCTGCGTGCTGTCATCATCATCCATCAAAGGTTGAGCTTACTTCTGTAGCACGAACAGATATAAAATCTTATGTTGATGAATATTATTGTCTCACTTCCATTAAAGCTGCATGGGTATTAGCAGAAGTTTTTGTTGATGAGACAATAATTATCTCCCAAGATGATAAAGCAAAGGTTGGGTTAAGTATTCTTGCGGTTGGTTGCACGTTCAAAACTATCCAAACCATTAATGAACTAGTTACTATCAAAGATCACGATTTTTCAATTGGTTCAAAAATGAAACTTATACCTTCCGTTTATTTAATCATTAATCCAACTGATTCAAGTGACACCTTGTGAACTGATCAACTTTCCATATTCATTAGGCCAAAGTATTTTATTGGAATATCTTCGAAAACTCATATTGCGAATTTAGAATATATTATTTTATATGAAAAATTTTCTATCTTAAAAAAAGAAGGTAAAGTTAGGCCTATTTGAATACTTCTTGTTAATGTTGGACCAGATGAAAATCTGAAATATATGAAAAATATAATTCAATATTCTCACCTTTTTCATATCTTCAACCTAGATTACTTAACCATTTGTACTTATGCTCTGAGACAAAGTACATATAATCCAGTAGAATATAGTATAGCTTCTTTATTTGCGAAGCTTGCCGGCATCACTCTACTTGTGAGAAAGTTTGGATCGTATTTAAATAGTTAAAGGAGTGTAATAGATGAAGAATTAGTACAACAAAATTTTGAATTTTCAGAAAAAAGTTTATGTGATATATGAAAAAGGAATAACATACATAGAAAGCCTGTGAAAGTAGAATATGTCGATCAAGAGAGACATCCATTTAATGAACCAGATCCTTTGATATCATGGAAGTGAATTGAGAATTATATACAGATTTGCCACTATTCATTAGATATAAAAAAATGCAAAAATTGTGAATGTTGCAATGAATATAGAGCTCCGGATATAGCCATTCTTTTGAATGAAAATGATGGATTCCTTCCGCTGACTATGAAAGGAAAAGATGGTTATTACATCAATTCGATTCATGCTCTTCAGTATCATGATAAACTATACGTGTTGTCCAAATCCCAAATTACTAGTATTTGGGATTTGGGATTTGGGATTTGGGATTTGGAATTTCAGCAAAAAATACTAATCATAATTTGGGATTTGGGATTTGGGATTTTGACATTTGGGATTTTGACATTTGGATTTTGAATTTGAGTGGCAGATATATGATAAACTCAAAATTCCAAAGTACGATGGTTGCTACCCTTCGATTTCACGAGAGCTCGGTTATGCTGCAATATATATGGAAAATACTTCCCAACTCTCAAGTTTATAAACGACCACAAGTGAAATGTACATTCTAAACGTTGCAATCAGAAAAAACTGGAAAGCTCACAGGAGACAGAAGTAGATTATGTACTTATTCCATTAAATTTAAATTTTAATGTTGTAGAAGATATAATTTCAAAAGGAAATTCGTGACAAGAGGTTGAACAGATTTCTCATAAAGTTCAATCAGATAAAGATTGAAAAAATTATTTTTTTTTAAAATTGCAAATTTTTTTTTTATGAGATGTAATTATTAATCAATAAAAATTTGATAATCGTTTATTATTAATAATGAAATTAAAAATCACATGACATTATATATTAAAAATTCGAATTCTTAAAAGTTGGCCAATAATCTTATATTATTAAATCCCGTGATTATATACACCTGATATATGAAACTGACCTCTACTCCTCCTTTGAATCATCTGATTTCTGGCATGTCCCTAAATAAAGCTCATGACTACATAGGTTAGCTTGGGGTTACTTTAAAATAAAGCTCAAGACTACACATGTTAAACTCAAGTTACCTTCAATTAAAGCTCAAGACTATGTGGTATAGATTCCGATTTACCTTAAATAAAACTCAAGACTACGTAGTATTGATTCCGATTTACTTTAAATAAAGCTCATGACTACATAGGTTAATTCGGGGTTACTTTAAAATAAAGCTCAAGACTACATATGTTAAATTCAAAGTTACCTTAAATAAAGCTCAAAACTTAAAAAATAGACTCGAATATATATGCGTTCGAAAAATAAGCTCGAATATATATGCGTTCGAAAAAAAGGGTTAAAAAAAATAAAAAAATATTTAAACAGCATATATATTCGAGTTTAAAAAAATAGACTCGAATATATATGCGTTCGAAAAAAAATAAACTCGAATATATATGCGCTCAAAAAAATAAGCTCGAATATATATGCGTTCGAAAAAAAAATAAGCTCGGAATATATATGCGCATATATATTCGAGCTTATTTTTTTTTTTTTTTTTTTGAAAAAGGAGATTAATGCATATATATTAGAGTTTAAAACGCATATATATTCGAGTTTATTTTAAACTCGAATTTATATGTTTTTTTTTCCCTCATAATTTTTCATATCCCAAATATTTGGGGGGCCAAAAATAATTTGGGATTTGGGATATTTTGATCCTCGGATCCCAAATAATTTTGACATATTTTGGCAGCCATAATGCCATATTAATTTGGGATTTGGGTGGCATGTATAATAGAAAATGTAATATTAAAAAGATTCATTTTTCAAAATAATTTAATCAAATTTGAATATCAAGTTAATTTGTGCTGATGTTTGAACTTTTACAATTTTGCGGATATCTATTTTCAGCAAAATATTATCTTGTTTATATTAATTTCAAGATCTTGCCTTAAATGAATTAGCTTAATCTTTTTTAGGGAATAAAATAACACAGTGTAATGAATTTAATTAGTCATACAAATTATCTTTGAAAAGTCTTAAAAATGACAGAAAATATTTCATCCATTCTACAAGGAGGCTATAATCATCCAACTTTAAGATTATGGCAATCCGATAGAATTTTAAGAAAAGCATCATTGATGTATCCAATTTTTATAAATGGTAAAGATGATAATGCCGAAGAACCAATTTCTTCTTTACCTGGTCAAAAAAGGTAATTATTTAATTATTTAAAGTTATAAAAGAAATTATTTATTTAAAGTAATTATTAAAAGTAATTATTAAAGTTTAATAATCAAAGATAATATACTTGTGAACTAAGGGATAATTAAAAAAAAAAAAAAATAAAATATCAAAAAAATAATTAAAATAACTAAGGGATAATTAAAAAAAAAAATCAAATATCAAAAAAATAATTAAAATTTTCTCATTGGATGTCAGATGGGGTGTCAATAAACTGGAAGGCTTCCTTAGAATTCTTGTAAAAAAAGGGTTAAAATCCATCATATTATTTGGTGTAGCTGGTGGTGTAAAGGTAAATTTTTGAAATTACTAACTACACTTCAGGAGGTAAATGACTCAGAAGAAAAAATTAGAAAATTTTAAACCTTGATTTGAAATTGATACAATATTATAATAATTAATTATTTTTTTTTCTAATTATTTTTAAATTGTAAATATTATTAGGATGCAACTGGAACATGCTCCGATGATCTAAATAGTCCAGTTATTTTAGCCGTAAAACTTATCCGTGAAAAATTTCCCGAATTATATATTGCTTGTGATGTCTGTCTTTGTGGATATACTTCTCATGGACATTGCGGTATATTGAACAAAATTGAATAAATATTATAGACTTTTCTTTATTTATATACGATTTATTATATTTAATAGGAATTTTGAATGATGATGGTTCTATTGACAATCTTAGCACTGTTAATCGATTGGCTGAAGTCGCTACAAATTATGCTAAAGCGGGTAAATGTTTTTGAATCAAATTCTATTAATTCTATTAATTTCTATCGATTATATTTTTAAGTCTTGGACTTTAAATATTTATCCTTATTTTCTAAAGGTGCACATTGTGTGGCACCATCAGATATGATGGATGGCCGAGTTATAATGATTAAAGAATCCTTAATTCGTGAAGGATTTGGGAATAAAGTCGCATTAATGAGTTATAGCGCGAAATTCGCGAGTGCATTTTATGGACCATTTAGGTAGACAATGAGAAAATGTATTTACTTACTTTGAATTGAGTATTATTAGTTTTTATTGATAGATAAAAATTTTTTTAGAGATGCTGCTGACTCTGCACCTCAATTTGGTGACCGTAAAACTTATCAACTTCCACCAAATGCTAGAGGTTTAGCACGCCGAGCAATTGTAAGCGTATAAAAATGTGGAATATATCTTTTTAATTTTTTAAATTTTTTAAATTTTAAAATTTTCACGTTCTTAGACTCGAGATCTTGGAGAAGGTGCTGATATTATTATGGTTAAACCAGGAATGCCGTATTTAGACGTTGTTCGTGATGCCAAAGAATTAGCTCCTGATGTTCCAATTGCTGTTTATCAAGTATCAGGTGAATTCGCAATGATTTGGCATTCAGCAGAAGCAAAAGTGTTTGATCTTAAAACAGCTGTATTTGAGAGTATAGATGGATTTTTGAGAGCTGGTAAATATAATAATTATTTTTTATATAATTATTTTTTAACGATCGAATTAAGTTAAATCTTTATTTTTAGGTGCAAATATAATTATTACTTATTATACCCCACAACTTCTTGATTGGTTAGAGGCATAAAATGATAATTCATTTAAATTTTTTTTTTTTGATTATTGCAATAAATTTACTTCCGTGGATTCATGATTTCCTTAATATTGAATATATTCACATATTAATATTGTTAATTGTTTTAATAAATGTAAACAAATAATAATTGAATTTAGGCATTTATTAAAAATATCACAATGATATATGCAACGGTGGTCACAATTGCATAAAAATTTACAAGAAAAAGAATACTTTTTTTGTTTGTTGCTTAATAATACAAGTGTTGAAAATAATAAATATAAAAAATCCAAAGAAAAAAAATTAACCAAAAAATTTCAACTCCAATTATTTAATATACCAAGACCAATATATCGAACATATACATTTTTTAGAATAAAGCACATGTGAAATGTAAGATAAATATAAACAGATGAAATTTCTTTCACCAATAACCAAAATAATTTGGTATGATGAAATATAGAGAAAGAAATAGAATTATGTTGATTATGTTAAAAGTGTACAAAAAAAAATACAAGATAGAACATCAAAATTAATTTTTTTTAAAAAAGAAAATTTTTACAATGAAAAAAAAAGGAAAAAGAAAAGGATAAAGGGGATTAAAAAAGGGGATTAAGAGGAAAATTTAGGCTTCATTGTTACTCTTGGCATATTTAGCCAATAATTCTTCTCGTTTTTTCTCCCAACGGCGCCATTCTCCAGTACTATTATTTGATCCTATAGAATAATCCGTAGGTACTCCAGAATTATCATTAACCCATAACATAGATTGTGTAGTAGGTCCACCATATCCATACATATAATCATCGCTTGCTCTCCAATTACGACCATATTGCATTAAACTATTTGCTGTACCCGTACTTATAGTTCTACCCCTTCTTTCAAAGGGTCGATTTCGATTATAGTTATAATATGATGCCCGTCGAAAATGATGTGTAGCTAAGGAATCTCCAAGAAGAGCAACTCTTTCCTCGTCATTGTTCCTTAGTCTACAACATTGACACAGGCAACAACATAAACAAAGCAAGAATGAGATAAAAATAACACCGAATAGAGCAGATGCCAATGATATTAGAGCTTGTTTGGTGCTAACTGTTGAAACAAAGAAAAGTATTATTCTGAATAAAAAAATTTTATTAAATATAAAAAAAAAAAAGAAATAATACAAAAAAAAAAAAAATGGAATTCAATTCATCTTCCATATGTATAAAACAATGTGGATTTGTTTGACAAACGAATACAACTTACCAAAACATTGAGCATATTGGTACTCCCAACTTGGGCATATCGATGGATCTTTAAAAGGTCCTTTCCATCCACCTTGCACACATTGGTTAGTCTATAATTAAAATCAAAGCAAAATTGTGAAATACCTGTTAGAAAAAAATAATAATAGAGATGAGAGTAGAAAAACGAAATCATATATAAATACTGACCGTTACACAAAAACCGCATTGCAAATGGCTTGTACATTCACCGCAAGTGGTGAAATTTGCACAATTTACTATTGAAGGATCTATAAAGAGATGAAAATTCAAATGAATATATATTAAAAAATGTAATTACAAATGAATAATATTAAAAATTATTTCAAATTAATTCAAGAAATCAAAAAAAAAAAGAAAAAAAAAGTAATTTACGAACCTGAATGCTGCACGGTAAGTAATGCATTGCTTAGTGAAAGTACCGAATGCACGTTAAATAATGTCAACACAATAAAGACACTGATATAAGAATATATTGTTCGAGACATAGCAAATTAAAGAACTTTCAAAAAGGAATAAAGTACTATTATAAAATTTTTTTTTTTACAGTTTTGGCCTTAATAAAAAATGTATATATTTTCGCCAAGGAACCTTTTCAAAAGACGCCTTGTCGGAGAGACCGTAATTATATTTATATTAGTGTAAAAGGAAAGATGATATATATTAAAAAATCTAAATTTAAGGAAAAGATGCACCTAAATAAGAAAAAAAAAATTGTCAGAATATGGAATGAAACAAGCAAGGGTTTGGGAAAATTAAAATATATATATCAAATATATTTATTACACGCGGTTGTGTTTCGTCGATGATTTTTAAAGATTTCTGGTAGGACAAATGAAACTTTCGGCTTTACCGAATTGAATTAAATAAATCGAGTGTGACAAATAAATAATTAACCTTATATAATTACAATTCATATTTTTGTAGTAAAATTGTTTAAAATAGGTTTCTAGTTCGATAAAATAGGCACAAAGATAGTGGCTCATGTTAAAATTGGATTCGTAATTTATGATATCATAATATCGTGAAAAAGTAAAGGGCGTAGCGTATATAAGATGTAGGTAGGTATATTTTGCATATATGGCTAAAAAAGATTACTCCTATTATATCAAAAATCTAGTTTTGAAGATAACTCCGTTGCGTAGTGAAGAATGTCTCGATCAAAGAATTAAAAAAAAATTCATTGGTTTTTGAAAAAAGAGAAATTTCAAAAAAAAAAAATTTTAATTCGATCTGAATTAGGTATTTAATGCAGCAATCTATCACAAATTACTAGATTAAATTTCAGGAGTTTATAAAATTGTTCCACTAACTACAGTCACTACAGTTACAAATATATAAATTTAGGTTTATCTTAAAACTTGAACCTTTGATAAGCCTAAACTGTCGAGAAAAAAGATTTTTTTTTAAAAAAAAAAGATTTTCATTCGAGTAATATCAGGTTAAGGAGTTAAAATTTGAATTCGAGTAATATCAGGTTAAGGAGTAATACAAATTCTCTTTTCAACGCAGCGTTAATAAACCAATAATTATTCTTCTCAGTGCTAAAGTTTCGTTTTGATACACTAACAATTACCCCCAAAAAAAGTTTATTTCTCAATTAATATCTAAAAAATTTTAGGTATCAAAATATCTATCAAAGATAATCCAAAAAAAAAATGAGATTCGTCATAATGTGATTAAAAATATTTGTCATCCTTTGTCACACCTCTTTATTTTACATATATTTGTCTATTTACTTATCACATTATAATAATATAAAATAATATTTACAATATATTTAAAATATGCGCGCAAACGCAATAAAAAAATAAATCTAATGCTTAATGAAATAAAAATAAATGATACTTTATACAGAAACATTTACGAATTACGTTAAGAATGGGTGTTTTAATGCTTCTTCAGCCGTAATTCGTTTCGATGCAATCGGCTCCAAGCATTTCTTTAGTAAATTTATGGCATTGTGAATGTCCGCCGATTGATCTTTGCTCGAAAATAACTCTCTTCGTAATTTATAAATTAGTTTATCGAATGGAATACCCGTATCAGTTATATAAGGAATATTTGTGCGAAATTCGAGCCCTATATGTAATTAAATTTAAATTAATTATATATAATCTGACAGAAAATAATAATATGCATAATAAATATACCAAAAGAGTCCGCAACTTTCTTCATTTTTTCCTTGCCGATTAGAATAGCGACTTCCATTAAGTCCTCAGTGTCATCAACCACATTAAAAAAAGGATAACGTCCGGCAAGAATTGTTAATAGAATTACCCCAGCGGCCCAAATATCAATTGCTTTAATTAAGATAATCATTAAATATCACGAAATTTAATTATTATAAAAAAAAAAAAAAAAATTAACGGATGGCTTACCTGATGTTTGATTCTCCGCTCTCATCAAAACTTCCGGAGCTCGAAATCCCCTTGTCCCACCTCGATGACCATTAAAGGAAGGTTTCCTTTCCGACTCTTTAGGTATGACATCAACATAACCTTTTTTCAATCTAAAATGTAAAAAAAATCGAATAATAATTAAATAAGATAGTAAAAATGATAATAAATTAGATGAAAAATAATTACAATTCTCTTTTTTGGCATTCGGTAAGTTTTTCGAATTTTATTTCACGTGATGTTCGTGCTCGCTTTGTCGGCATTATATTTCGAGAAGAGCTTTCTCCACGGTTCTCACATTGCACAGGGGATATAGCATTAACTTTCCTTTTCTTATTTGTAGTATTTGCAGGAGGATCGTTTTCATTCTGCATCGCATTCATCATCTTTTTTACAGTATTTGCAAGTGCGCTAGTGGGAGGAACTTTGCTAATGAGAGTGGATAAGGGTTCAGTTGGTTTGATAATATTAAATCGAGAATTACTCAAAGGGTTTAGAGGAGTGGAGTTGAGCTGAGATTTCACTTGCTAATGTTTAAAAAAGTTAGATTAAATCAAAATACCATAAAATTGATTTTTTTTTTTAAAAAAAAAAAAAATTTTACCTCTGAAAGCCCAAAGTCTACCAGAGTGCCCTTTTTTTCTTTTATATTATAAAGAAAATTTCCGGGTTTAACATCCCGGTGGATGATTTTAAGAGAATGGATAATTTTTAGGGCATTGAATAGTGACCTAAAATATTCTTTAATATCATCCATTGTCACTGTAGTAAAAAATTCCTATAATAATTAATAATTAAAACAGTCATGAAAATAAGTAATTGTCGCTTTTCGAGATAAATAATGAATAATATGTTTAAATGTAAAATAACTTACCTTAAAAACATCAAATTCATAATGGGGCGTTATGATTATAATCTCATCTTTACATCGAAAGGCAGATAAAAGATAAATAATATTTTCTTGTCCTCTATGTCCGAAAAAGGTTATTAATTTTGGTTTTCTTTTCCGTAAATTATTTGATTAAATTCGTCCTGTAATAAACTATGGGCTCTTACTTAATTGCTTTCAAGACCGAAATTTCATTTTTTATCAAGTCTACGCCGCAAATTGCCACTATCTTCTTTATAGCGATATATTTGTAATAACTATCCGCCTCTTCATTTTTACGTCTTTGCTGAGATCTAGTTCTAATATTTTTATATTTCAAGTTTTCCGCTTTATAAACTGAACCATAGCTACCTATTTACAAAGACATTATCTAACATATTAAAGACATTTGTTTAATTTATAAGGGTTCATAATTTATTTTAAAGGAAACTAACCACTTCCAACTTTTTCAATAACTTTATATTTTTCTTTCATATCAGGAAAATTCTCAAGTAACTGACTAATATCATTTCCGTTACTTGTATCCATGAATGATATTTGTGAATAAACGTATTTTTAATAATTTAAATTAAATTTCAAGTCGAGTTTTGAAAAAAATAAATTTTTTTTGTTTATAAGAAAAGTTGCTGTGTTTATAGAAAAGTGACAGGTATATTACTTATGTTTAAATATTTTAAATATTTAAATTAATATTAACGAAGTAAAACTACTAATTATTAATTACAGATCAATAAATGTTTTATAATAATATTATAAAGAAAGTTTTTAGAAGAAAAATGACAGATAGGTGTTTTACTCGTATTTAAACTAATTTAATACCGTAATAATGCAAATAAATAAATAGTAAAAAAAAAAAAGAAACTTTTTAAAGTTGTGAGTTAAAGTTTAATTCAGAGCTGAGAGTGAAAATCAAGTATTAAATACTTTAAATACTTAAATACTGGAATAATTGAAAGGCTTCGAAACGTAATAGGATCGACAACCACTAGTAAATAAACAGTTTCAGAGGTATGACAAATGATTAAATAAGGTTATTTGTTTTTGTTTTTTATTTTAATTTATGTGACGTAATTTTACGCGTCCTATATACATTCTATATATAACATTTTTTTTAAAAGCAACCTTTATATATTTTTGAAGAGTTTCTACAATTAGAATTTATTTCCATAAAAAAGAAAAAAAAAAAAAAAGAAAAGACATTTTCTCAAAAAAATAAATGCTTGATTGAATATATAATAAATGTGCCTATATTAAAAATTTAAATCTTATCCATTGGTTTAAATTTCATTTTTGAGATATCACAACCTTCAATTTGATTTAGAACCTGATTCGTCAAATGTCCCATATACGAAAGACATTGTTCATACTGAAAGTCAATGGGTTTAATTTTTCCAAGGCCAATTAAAATGGATTGACAAACACTCATAAGATCAGTCAATTTGACGGGATCATTTTTTATTTCATCGACCTTTCCAGTCGTAATGAATTTGAGATAATCCAGAAATATCTACATTTAATTAAAAATTAATAAATAAGCAAGAAATTTAAAATTATACATCATGTAAAGATATGTAAAGATGAAGAATATATTACGTACTTTCCCCCCCAAATTCCAATCAGGTACAAAACTAGGATCGATCTTCTCAAGAATTTCTTGTAATTCTTTATGCTTTTTGTGCAATATTTTTTCTGGTGCAATCTTAGTTATCACTATTTTATGAGCATCGGCAAACTCTTCCGCATCCAATAAATGTTTCGCTTCATCCACACTTTCTTCTTTGTATTTTGAAAATAAAGCCTATAAAATAATATATTTTTTAAAAAAAAATAATGAAAAAAAACGGTTTATTACATTAACTACAAAGTAATTAGAATTATTTACTTTTGCTTTAGAGATCCATTTTTGTGGAATTTTCAATTGATCAACTGCGAATTTTTCAATGATTCTTAATTGTTCTTCTGATACCATAGAAACAAGACGATTTAATAATTCACATATAATATTCCTTCGACTTTTACATATAACATGTAACAATTAAATTAAAAATATTGTTAGAATATTGTAATACTCGTAAATAAGAAACATTATTATTATGATGATATTACAATTGTAATTAATTTACTTACTTATTAGGATCATTTATAAACAGACCAACAAGAATGGCCCATTGCCATAACTCTAACATTTCCAGTTGATTCATCAAATCCAGCGTGATACGATCTGCACTCGGTTTTTTGTTAACAAAATGACGTATTGATAATGTACGCGAAAGCATAAAATGCAACATCCATGTAACACGATAATCCAAGGGTGAAAGTGTAATTGACCGTGGAAGAATCGCATCATCAAGAGAATGGGTTTTATCAACATAAATCTTTAACATATGATAATGTACATCACATATTTCATCTTCATGTTCTGAGTCGGGCCAAGTCACCTGGGGCTTAGGTTCGAAATCTTCCTTATACCATGGTATAGGTTTTGAAGTTTTTGAAGATTTTCGTGCAAGTTCATAATCATCAAATGAATCTTTAAAGGATTCACCCAAATAATGTCCATACCATAAATGCATACATAAAGCACGTTTCCAATCAATTCCTCTGTTTGAAGGTACAACATTTCCAGCCAAGATTTCATAAATCTTCCAATGATCTTTAGGAATGAGTTTTTTCAATTCATATTCCTGCCAATGTTCAATTTGTTTTTTAATAAAATTTCGAAAGGATGGATTGTTGCCACACAATTGAGATAACAATGCAGCCAAACGAAAGTCACGATTCTTTATGGCCATTTTTGAAGCATTCACAATATTTCTATTCGTTAAATAAGCAAAAATGGCTTCTCCATTATTTTTGGATGCAACTGCACGTTCAATATGAGTTGTTGCCTGAGGTAAAACGGCTTCTTGGAACCATCTTGATATTGATTCTTTACGAAATTCTTGTTTCATTCCACTTAAAACTTTAGAATCAGTTTGATCTGCACCGGGAATGACGACATCATCCCACAAAGCTTGACCAAGTTTCCAAATTAAAGATTCATGTCTATTAATAACTCCATTTTCGAAAGCTTTAACCAGATATTCAAAACTAACTTTTCCATGATCGGCGCATGGTATACCATCTTTTTGTCCAAATTTTGAAATTTTGAAAATAAGTTCCATTGAACTATTATGTCGAGCTTTTTCTGTGCCCTAAAAATGTCAAATATCTATTACCATTTATTTCATAAATAAGCAATAAACCCAGAAATAAGTCAGAAATTCAAACCTCTGAATCAGGGAATAATCTAATTTTTTCAAATTGAATTATGTTGGGCATTCCCGTGTTTTTGCTGCTTAATCCTGTATTAACACTTTTTGGTGAAAAAGGTGAAAACGCTGATCTATAATAAATTAATTTTAAAATTAACGTGGATATAAATAAAATTTCTTGTCAAAAACTTAATCACTCACATTATATTTGAAACACCACACACTTTACTGCAACGAACCAATATCCCATTGGGACCCCATCCTACTCTAAAAGATCTCCCCATTACAAGTCCAGAATCTTCCATATAATTATCTTTACCATAAACAATTGAATCACTATAGTCTACAACCTTACGATATTTGCTGGGGAGCCTAATAACTATATCTTCATGAAAGAGAGGCTTCTTCATGAAAGACTGACGATGCTTATTAATCATATACAATAAACAAGGGTACACGTTAGACACAATTGATTATCGTTTTTATTTAAATAAAATTAACATTTATTAAAAAATAAAAAGATACACAAAAAAAAAAAACGCATAATGTTATATGAAAAAATATATTTTATTTATATATTGCTAATTACATGTGAATGATAAATAATATAAATTACTATAGAAATGAAAACACTGTCATAATGCTCACTATGAACAAAATGAAATAATTTAAGGAGTTTTCTTATTATTTTATTTTCAATAATTTCGCAAACTCACCTCCGTAATGGTAGAACGAGATTCATCTTGGAGATAATCTTCGTCAAAACTTCCCAAACTTCGCTTAAGATTAATAGTTTCATCAAATTCTTCGGATGCATTATCTCCAACATAATCCATTTGCATATAATCCTCTTCAATTGGATCGCTGAATAAAACATTTTGCATTTCATCGATATCATTGGGATCTTGCCCAAGGTATTCGGGTAAATTAGCTGCAGGCTTAAGTTTATCTTTTTCCTCCTTTTCTTTCCCTTTTTGTGATTGTATCGAAGGTTGTATTGAAGGTTTCATTTCAGGAATAGATTCGAAATTTTTAAGTTCCCTTTCTTCAAATTGATCTTCTGGATCATCTAAGATAAGACCATAAGTAGTGAAATGTTCTACTTCGAATACCCAACTACCAGTTTCCGGAATAAAAGTGATATATTTAGTGCCATCTAATTTTTTTAGCCTTTCAATTCGTTGTCGGTAACGAGGATCTTCGTGATCTTTAATTGGACGACGATCACTTTTATCCAAAGCCCAACAGTGATCTAAAGTAATAACTGCACTTTTATTAAGACCTTGACCGGGAGGAGGTTTTTGATATTCTGTACCGTAAACAGTACATTTTTGATCATCGAAACGAATAATTTTTCCTAATAAATCATCAAGATTAATTCCACTAAGGTCTACCGAATCTGGATATTCAATTTTTCCGTAATTGTATCTCCCGGCCATAAAACCATTAACAGACTTTAAAGATTCTTGATCTATTTCCTTAAGATCTTTAATTCGCGGGCTTGAATAATATCCATTACTTTCGTCATAAGCTAAGGTAAAAGGTTCATCATCTTTAAATTTAAGTTCAAATTCATCTGTTTCAGCAATAGGCGTTCTTGGTTGTATTGCTTTTGGCTGTATCTTTGGCGGTGGCGTCTTTATTGGAGATATTGGAGATATTGAAGGCGTGCGCATTTCTTTATTATCTGGAATTATAGTTGATCGACTACCACTTGATCTATAAACATTAGGACTAAATGAATGAGAAATGGTATCCGCTCCTGATTCAAGCGTAGCATCAAAAGTTATATTATTTTTTTTAACGGGTGTCTGAAAACTTAGTGGGGAGCTCGTTGATTGCTCCATATCATTTATAAGTTCCTCAGGTTCAACCCTTCGATCCATTACTAATTTTCTAGGATTACGCTTTGTAAAAGCATCAGGACTCAGTAATTGGTTCTTATCTATATTATCGAATATATGCAATGGTTTAAGATCAGGTGTTCCAAATCCTTGACTACCAGGAAGATTAAATCCAGGGAGTTTTAATTTAGATTTTGGTTTTGGAGAGAACTTATGAGATGGAGTTGATATCTGTTTCTTTTTTTGAGAAATTGTAGACAAAGGAGTAGAAGTTACGGAAAGTTTATTAATTGAAGTTGTAGGTGTAGTTGTTTGATATATAGATAAATTTCCATAAGGTGCACTCGTTATAGAAGCTTGTAATGATTGAGATTGTCCAGTTTGCCCTGTTTGACCAAAACCAGATGGATTGTTTTGACCTCCAAACGATAAACCAGATCCACCACCTAGAAAACTGGATGGTTGTGCTTGTCCAAGATTCAAACTAGGTCCACCAAGAGTTGGAGCTGTTGTTTTGTTAAACAAATTAAATCCTAAAGAAGGTGCTGATGTGCTTGCGGGAGGATTAAGGGTAAATAATGAACCACTCGGTGCGGATGATGTTGTAGCTGAGTTTGTAAACAGATTTAAACTAGCAGTGCCAGACGCTATCGAAATAAAATTGATAAAGATTTTAATAATAATATTACAAAATTTTTATTTATTTTCTAAAGAAAGTAAACTTACATTGATTAAAGCCGAAGGCGGGTTTAGACGTTGCTGCAAATCCTAAATTCAATTGTGGTGGATTGCTAGTGGCCGTATTTGCTAAATAGAAATAATGTATATAATACAAATAATTAGATATTTTATTTTAAATGTGTACTTTATTTGATGACAAATCATATTATGAAATTATACTTACTACCAAAACCACCGAAGGAAGATGGAGCGGCAGGAGTAGCACCGAACGCACTTGCCGCAGCTGCGGGTTTATTTCCTATTATGAAATTAAATAAGTAGTTATATTATTATTTCGATATAAAATTAACTAACGTGTATAAAAGGATTGGTTCGACGTACCGAAAGCACTACCACCACCACCACCGCCACCAAAAGCTGATGAAGTGTTAAGATTTCCAAAGCCACCACCGAAGCCAGTATTAGCCTGTGTCTTTGCACCAAATAAGCCACCAGTTTGTTGTGCAGTAGAAGTCGAACCAAAAGGATTACTTGCTATATATGGTAAATATATCGAGAGTATAAGTTTGAGAGTATAAGTTTGAGAATATAAGTTAGGTTTAAAATAAAAAATCAAGAAACGTAATGTACCTCCTCCTCCAAATCCAGTTCCAAAGCCACCTGTTGGTTGGGAAGTACCGAAACCTCCTCCTGCAGGTGCACCGAAAGCAGGTTTTTGTGCACCAAAAAGAGACGTTGAGGGACCAGCCGCCGGAGGGGCACCAAATCCAGTAGCAGCAGGAGTTTGAGTATTACCACCAAATCCAAAAGATTGAGGAGTTTTAGCACCAAAAGCAGTGTTTTGATTAGAAAAACCACCACTACCACCACCTGCTGTACCACCAAACACACTAGAAGTAGTTGTAGCTCCAAATGATGGCGCATTATTACCCATTCCCCCGAATGTTGATCCTGTTGTAGGTTTATGATTCAATTGATAATCTAAAAGACGAAGTTCCTATAAACAAAAAATTCTTTAGTAGTCAAAAAAAAAAAAGAGCAAAAAATAATGATTTTTCTTTAAAAATAATAATAATAATAAATAATTCTTCGAAATCATACCTCAAATGAAAAGGTTCTATATTGTGGCATTGCAGATATACTATGAAAAATGTTTAAAGATCCAGCTTGGTCCTTATCATTTGTTGTTGTATATGGTGGACTAAGCGTTCCATTGGGAGGTTGAGTAGGAGTCCCGGTTGAAGAGGCCATACCTAGAATGATTATTTTATAATTTTAGATTTTTTAATATATGTTTAAAAAAATTATTTTATATTGTTGATTATTTATATCTAAATTGTATAAAGATAATTGTTCTAATGATGAATGTAAATGTAATTTATTTATGAATTTTGTTTATAAATTAACTAAAATTTAAAATTACCGGTATTGCCAAAAGGCCCTGCACTTGGTGTAAACAAACCACCTGTGGGAGCTAAAAATAACAAATAATGAGTTATTAATAATTGATTAAAATAAATAGAGGGTAGATCAAGGGTAAAGTTTTAACGCGTAAAAGTATTAATTCAAACTTTAACTAAAGTAATTACACATACCTTGTTGTCCGAAAGCAAAATTAGAAGAGCCAGCTGCTGGTTGTCCAAAGCCACCAAATCCACCAGTACCTCCACCACCTCCGGTAGAAGTAGATCCTGCCCCAAATCCACCACTACCTGAAAGAACATAGAAAAAAAAAAGCAGCAGAATAAGGATTTAGTCTTTAAAAGAGTAAATAAATCTTAAAAAATCGAACAATAATTACCAAATGGTGTTTGTGTGTTAGTTCCTCCAAATATGGGTTGGGTTTGTTGCCCAAAACCCGTACTTTGTCCAAATGTGTTCTGACCAAACATAAGTTTTTTGGTCTTTTAAAATGACTTTTATACAAAAGAAAACAAGAATCGATCGAAAGTATTTGTGTATTTTACTTTTTGTGGCATATATATATATATATGTGTGTGGGCGTAGTAATTAACAACTAAGCACCTGACAATCTTTAGCTTAGTAATTTTTAGGGTTGTTACTGCGCTAATATCGATACCCTTATACACTTGCACAATATATGCGGAATTACTTATGAAAACGATGTGTTTGTTTTTAACTTTGGAAACAGTAGTAATTTGGTTAATAAAAAATAATTTTTTTTTTTTTTGAGAGTTTTATTTGTCTTTATTACAAAAAATGGTAATTTATAATATCTACTACATTCAGATGATCTCATCTACTATAATCGGTAATAAAATGTCATCATAAAGAACATGATATCGATAAAAACAAAATTAAATTTTTATTAAAATTTTATAATTATAAAGACTGCTTTCTAGTTTATACGATATATTATAAACTACTACCTATTAACGAACACAACTGTCTTTAAGTTGATGCATTGAAGGAAGTTGAATATGATATCAGCTTCAAATCGAAGCACATCAAAACCGTCAAACTATAATATAACTCTCTTAACTAACTAGGCGGAAAAATGTGTACGTCTTTATTTACGTCTCAACATTTGAGCAGAGGGAACAATTTTATACAAAAAATCATATGAATCTTGGTACTACATGCTATGTTTCACAACTTCACAGGTATCTGATCGACAACCCGATTTGACGCGTTCGCATGTAAAATATTAACGATGGGAAGAAAAAAAATCATAAAGACGGTGAATATTCAATTAAGCATGTATCGATAATCTAAATTCTATAAATTTAACACTCTTTATCGACTGAATTACTAGCCTTTCTCAAAACGAGTAAACAGACGGTCCGTCAGAGTTGCCATTCGGGATCAGGAGCGTGCTGATTTTAAAAACGAAAGTGATAACGATGTTTACGTAGAAAGCACTGAGACTGAAAATGAACTCTCGGAAAACGAACCCTCCCCTAAGAGAAGACGGAAAAATGGTAAACGCATAACTACTTCAGAAAAAATTTCACAACCCGGAAAAATTACTACACCTCCTAAAATAAGGTATATATTAATTTTATTATTTTTTGACTAAATTTTTTTTTTTATAATAATAATCAAATTAATTTTGTACATTTTGAATAGAGTAAAATCAATTGGCCAAATTAAACCTTTAGCGCTTCGTCAACAGCCAACAACTGAACCACAAACATTTTATGACCGTGCTAGGTCTATGTTACGCTTAGAGGAAGTTCCGGATACGTTACCATGTCGTGAGAAAGAATATAAACAACTTTACGAAAGGGTAAAATCGGCAATAGAACAGTTTTCGGGGCATCGAATTTGTAAGTTATCAAATTTCGACGAATTATTTCAATAAAAAATAATTTAATTTTCTAATAATAATAATAATAATAATAATAATAATGATGATGATGATAATTTTGATCAGTTATATCTGGTCAACCCGGAACAGGAAAAACGGCAACTGTACGACAAGTTGTAAAAAATTTACAACAAAAAGTTGAAGAAAAGGTATTCTTTCTAATGCTTCTAATATGTATATTGATATAGATATAGATATATATATGTTTGATCAATTGATTTAAAGATAAAATAAGCTAAATGATTATTTTTAGGAATTGATTCCCTTTGAGTTTGTCGAAATCAATGGGATGGAAATAAAACCTCCTGAGAAAGCCTATCCTATAATATGGAAGGCACTAACAGGAGACCATGTTACTTTCAAAGATGCTGAGATTTTGTTAGCTCAAACTTTTAGCGCACCGTCAAGGCGAGGCCCAATGTAATTTTGATCATTTATTTATTTTAATGATTTGTAATGATTTTTAATGGTTATTTTATTACTTTATAATAATAATATATAAACCTTTATATATTACTTTTTTTTTTTTACAGATTATTAATGATAGATGAATTTGATACTCTTGTCAAGAAAAAGAGCACAGTGATTTATAATTTATTGAATTGGACAACATTTCTAAATTCATATTTTATAGTTATTGCATTGACGAATCGAATAGATTTGTATGTGAATATGCTTCCTCTTAGTAGTGATAGTCGGATGGGTAGACTTTTACAACATTTTATCTCATTATTCATAAAATAAATTATTTTGATTTATTCTTTAATTGTATTAATTGTTTAATTTTTAGGTTTGGATCGATTTTCGTTTGCTCCGTATACCCACGCAGAATTAGCTATCATTGTTAAGTCACGACTTGAAGGAATTGATTTATTCACGAATGAAGCTATAGAATTTGCTGCCAGAAAAGTTAGTTCAATTACTCAAGACGCAAGAAACGCTTTATGCATTTGCAGGTCAGTTAAAAAATTTTCATTATGTTTTTTATCATGAATTTTATCTAAAAACAATCGAATCTTTTATGTTCTTTTATGTAGCCGAGCCGTCGGAATTCTTGAATCTTTAGTGAAGAAAGATGATACTGTGAACAATAAAGTCACCATAGAGATAATAAAAGAAGCTATAAAAAAGACTATCACTCCTTGGTCAAGATATATCAGAAAATGTTCATTTCAGGCAAAATTATTTCTCTGTAGTTTATATTTGCTGAGAAAGGATGAAAAATTAGAAATCGAATATAAAGATGTAAGAAATTCTTTAATTTTATTTGAATTATGATTAACACTAAAAAAAATCAAAGCACTGGAAATTATTTATTTATAGAGATTTTGTAATTTAATTAAATAGATCGCTGAGAAATTTATTAAATTATGTAAAGGAAAAGATATTCCTCAACCAACCTACACTGAAATATCAGATATTGCTTATGATCTTGCATCATCTTTGATTTTGATTATGGATCCAAGTAAAGATATTTGTGCATCTGTAGATTTCAACGCCAATGAAGAGGAAGTGCAAATAGTGTTGAACGAGGACCCATTTTTTCGTGATATGATAAAATTATAATTTTGGCACCATAAACAATTTTTATTTTATTTTTTTTTTTTTTGGAATGGCAAAGACTAAATTTAATTTTTTTTAAAAAAAAATTTCTATTTGTTTAAAAAAAAATAATCTCTATCGTTTTAATTTAATTAATTACTTAATAATACAATATTAATAAATACTTTTTTTTTTTTAGCTAAACTCAATGTTTGCTCAATAAATAAATAAATAAACAAAAAATTGAAAAATTCTGTAAAGTCTGTAATAAATTAATCAGACTTATTGGATTTCCACATATTTTCATAATTTCATAATTTCATATTTTCCTATTAAAATTAAAGTTTTGCCTCCGGCTTGCCGGCTTTCACAGGTCTACTCATTAAATTTGTCATTACTACAACATCTGCTGTGGTAGGAGCACCTACAAGTTCAGCCAAACTCAACACCCTCGAACTAACCGTAGCATTGTCCCTGCGATTTTTTCCTTCTCTACGAAATTTACCTATTCGCTCCACCAATTCCCATAATTTTCCCTTTGGTTCTATTGCTCCATCAGAATTTCTTGTTGGAATATAATCAACAGCAAGAGCAATGGTTGGCTTAATTTTGTCATCTCTACTACGTTTAACCATAATAATACCAACTTCTTCTAGTAGTATAAATGCATTTTTTAATGTTTCCTTATTGACCGCTTCAAAATAAGAAAGATCCCCTTGGTAATATAAAGTTTTACCAAATAATTGACATTTATTATGAAAATCATGTTCGTTGAACCAAGTGATTATAGGTTTCTTGCTAGAAGTTTTTTTAACAATTGTTGTGGTTGGCTGAGGAGGTGGATTAGAAGGTGTCATTGAGAACAAGCTAACAGCTAAATTAATGAAATTAATGAAAGCGATTAGTCACTTCTTCAATAAAATAATTAAAATAAAATGTATTTCAATAAATGATTTCTTACCAGCCAACCAATATGTTTCAATGAAAGGCCATATTAAGAAACAATAAAAGTCTAAAAATCATAAAAAAAAAAATAAAATAAAATCAGTCAATTCATTAGAGAATAAAAGATTAATAAATTATTAATAAATTAATCTTTACCATAATTTTCTCGTCCAATGGATCTCTCTATTTCTGTCAATTGAACGTAACCATCTTTATAATCATATACATTCTAAAAGAAAAAAAAAATAAAATGAAATGTTTAGTTTCAAAATAAAAAAATTATATGCAATATAAATAAATAAATAAATACTTCTAGTCCTTGTAATGTTTTCTCTAAATTCTGTTGTATCTCGCCAGGTTGATAAACAAATTCAATCTTAAGCAATTGGGAGAGAAATACCACTTCGTTTAATAAAGTATCAAAACGAAGTATTTGCGCTGGTTTTGCACCACCTTGTTTTATTTTGGTATACATTGCTGCAGAAACAATAGCTATAAATTATTGTACATTCGGTTAATATTTTGCAAGTGATACATAATTTACGGGCAAAAAAAAAATCTTTAAAAAATTTGAGATGATGTAAAATGATAAGTACCTTCCGAAACAAATAAATGCATAACCTAAAGAGATGAAAGAAAAAAACTAAATAAAAATAATGATTAATAATGAAAATCAAATTAGGAAGAATTAATTACCTGGTTACGATAATAACTAAGTTCAAATCGTTTTTCTGCGTAAAAGACGGGTTCCAATAAATCCTTTCGTTCTTTAATCAAATCTTTCAATACATTGATCGCTCTATTATTTAAAAATAAACTTCATTTTTAGTTCAATTCTAAACATAAATATTTACTGAACACAACAAAATTACCTGTCGACAATATCACCAGTGGTCATATCGCCAAAATCTGCTACTCGACCACCTTTTTTTAAAATTGCAGCCCTTAACCACTCTACACGTCTTATTAACTCTTTCCTGCCAACTCCCTATAAACAAAGTTACGAAGTTTTTTTTTTAATATACTTCAAAGATGAATTTATTTTTCAAAGATCCCAATATGTTTTACTTACGCGACCACGGAGAGTCAATATCACTGTACCAACTTCAAATAGTTAAACAAAAGAAGGGATTCATGAATATTGGGTAAATGTAATAAAAACATAATAAAAAATTCACATAATTATGATTACCTAGAGCAGTTGGCATTACAACTGATGCCGAATTCTAAAAGTAAAGAAAAAAAAAGACGGGATAATCCAAATTAAAATCTATTAGTATCAGTGAAAAATACAAAATTCATCATACTCACTATATCAGATAAAACCCTAAAAGGAATTTAAAAGAAAAATGATAAATATAAAATTAATAATAAAAAAAAAATTACATAACAATTATAACCATTAAAATAATTATTGTTGTAAGATGAACATACCGATAACCCAGGGCTCTCAATAAAGTTATTTTATGTGATTCATTAATTAAATCATTAACAGGATTAAAGGTTCTACGATATAGATAATAGATAATGTCATTAAAAAATTGAAACATTTTTAAAAAAAGATCAAATCAAAATCATAATGTATTACTTTCGTCTGGACGCTTGATCTTGTATATAACTTTGAAGCGAAAACGGTTTGGCAAATCGTACTGATTAATAATAAGAAATAATAAGAAATAATAGAATAAATTAAGATATAATACAAATAAATTGAATATTGGTTTCACTTTTTATAAATAAAATATATTTCAAACCATCAATCCGTCCCCATTTTAATTGTAATAATCCTGTATTAGTTACCACTCCCCAAAGACTTTCTCGTTCTTTGGGAATACCCAATAGTTCATTAACATATGATTCTGTTTCAATTACTTTATCATATTGAACTGACATTGGCACAATCCAACAATCTTTAGCCCGACCTGATAGAATACATTCCAGAAAAATTTTTAAAATACCCAATTTTGGAGGTAGTACCTTCCCTGTACGACTTCTAGTTCCTTCTATGAAACATTCAACGTTGTGACCACGTTCTAATAAACCTTCAACGTATTCCTTTACAACACTACCGTATAATTGATCTTCTCCCCATGAACGTCTAATATAAAAAGCACCACCCCGTTTCAAAATTTTACCAAGAATAGGTAAATCAAGATTATCTCCTGCAGCTATGTGTGGGAGTGCTAAACCTAAACGGAAAAATATATACGATATGACTAGATAATCTATGTGAGATTTGTGACATGGAAGAATGACGAGAGATTGTGAATTTTCAGCTGCTATTATAGCTATACGACGAAGCTAAAAAAAAAAAAATTAAAATTAAGATGGAGATAAATTATTTTTATATTTTATAAATGAAAAAATAATGAAACTTATAGTAAATATGATTCATACTTCAAGAAATTCGGGTTCAGAAATATGAATTCCTTGGTGATACATTCTCACTAATATATTATTTGTAAAGAAAGCAAAAATCCTAAGAGAAAGATTAAAATTCGATTATTGATAATTCTTCAAAATATATTTTGAATTTATTGGTAATTGTCAGAATTAATAAATAAAACAAACCTCATAAATCGAAGACTATTGAAATTTGCAATCAATCTATCCATCATTTTAACAGCAACGGAATGTAATTCACTTTCAAATACTTTTTTCCTTGCAGCAAAAACTTTTGGACTAGCATTTGGCATTGTTTGAGCGAGAGCTTTGGTTTGTTTTTCGGCCAAATAAGCAATCATATAGAGAACTAAATATGAAATTAGAACCAAATATTCGTATTAATTGAAGCAAACAAGAAAGATCAAATAAATATCAAAAGATCTTTACCACGTTCGCTATTTAATACACGTTCTTTAACTTCCTCAGTGTATCCTTCGTATAATATCCTAGCACCAATATAATTTTTATAGCTTCTCCAACCCTAATATAATTTTAATATAATTTTAAATAATAAGGATATTTGAATCATGAAACTTGAAAAAGACGCGAAAAAAAATCGAATCGCAATTATGAATATTATTACGGCATACCGTTCCTTGATAGTATGCACGCAGTTGTATCATAAAACCGACGGGATCATCACGAAAGTGACCTAGATGATGCAGTCTAATTTGAATTTCAAAATTACATCTAAGAAAATTATATCGAAACTAAATTTTTTCTAAATTTTTTTGATTAATTATCTTACAAATTATTTTTCATAATGATCACATTGAATTCTCGGGAAAAGATTGTTCATTATTTAATAAATCATGTTGAATAACTTACGTTAAGTTTCTTTCTTCAGTTCCGTTTACTGTTATAGGTTTAGACTCGATTTTTTGATTATCTCCGTCGCTAACTAAAGCGGGCATTGGAGGCGTAGTAACGGTTGATATGACTTCTACTTTCAAAGAAGACCTTTGCTCTTCAATAGGAAAGGAATCATTCATTGAGGTATCAGCTTTAGAATTCTCTTTGCCCATTGATAACTATTATGAATATTATAATTATTATAATTATTATAATTATTATAATTATTATAATGATAATTATAATAGTTGATAATAACTCAATTTTCAAAATGTGAGATCAAAAGATCGGCAAGCGATAACAAAAAATCAAAAAAATTCGGATGATCAATTCCTAATTAAAATCAAACCTCCAACCTACCTATTTAAGTTATCATTTATGATTAATAGGGATATTTACAAACAAAATGGCTGATTTGTGAATAAGATGATTTTTCATTTTCAATGATAGTAATGAAAGTTGATTTTTTTAATGAGTCATATTTTTATTTTTGTCATAATACAATTCAAACAATTCAAATTGATTTTAGATTAGATTTACAAGTTGAATTTGAATGAATTTATTGATAAGTTTTATGGGGTTGCCTGATTTTTTGGAGATTTGAAATTGATATGCTAAATTAGCAAGTTATTTTTAAATTACCAAATTATTTTTAAATTACCTGTATATTTAAAAATTGATTGCTTATTTTTTTATATATTATTATTATTTCTTTAAACATAACATTATAAATAAAATACGTTACTTTCAATGGTATCTAGATATTATTGGTGACACCCGATTAACCTGATTGCCCATAGAAAATATTTTGGTTAAGTGAAAATTCGGCCAAAGTTCTCAAATTAAAAATTTTACTTTGAAATTCATTGATAGGTGAGTGAGATATAGTACAACCTATTAAGTACTTGCATAATCAAGGGAACGGTTAGACAGTTTATAAGTATGGTCAAATCACTCTTAAGAATAAAGTGACCGTGACCTGACCAGGTATCTCTATTACTATTACTGAATAAACAAAGTAATAATTTTCATTATCTCCTAATCTCTCTTTATAATATTTGTCACAAAAAAAATATGTAATATCTATATTTAGACAAAATATTATTGAAAAAATACCATATGCAAAATCTAAATTATATCTGTTTCTAAAAGTAACCTGAGAAATCCGGAATTCGAGATTCCTCCTTTGTGATCAACAAGAATTAACAAAATGTATGGCAATTGTAAGGTTAACATAACAAGAATAACATTATACAAAGTTGCCAGTAATGAAATAAAAGAATGACACCAGTATAATAATTGACCTAAAATATTTAATAATTCACTTAGCAATTTTTTTTTCTTTACTAATTCTTTTAATCTTTCTTCAATATCAACTTGTAATGATCACTCTAGAAGTAATAATAAATTATGTAAAAATTATAAATCTTGAAGAGCAAAGTAATAATATTTATCCGAAAGAGAGGTTGAACTTTTGGAATATTTTTTTCAAGATGCTGTAATGCCAAAGCATCAATTATTTATATTAAATTGGTTTACAAATAATGTAGAGTTATCAAAAAATTGATCAAAAATTTATGTACCAAATTTATAGTGCAGTATTTTAGCTCAATAACTCAATGGTGTATATCAAATAAATATAATTAAAGATAATATTAATATTCCACCTATAAGATCTGCTGGACTTCTAGAAAGTTAAAATAATGCCATATTATTATATTATTAATATAATATTAAATTTAAATATCTTTCTGAACATATTTAAATAATTTCCGAAACCGTATTAACATTAAAAGCAAAAAATAACAACTTTAAAATTTGAAGATTTCTGGAATATATTTTTAAAAATTAAATTAAACCTTTAAATAGAATTAATTCAAATTATAATAAAGAAGAATTATGCTTTTGGAAAATATATATACAATGCATAATATTCTGTAATATTACATAATTTTCCATAAATTTCTTAGTACTATTCTTGGGTGCCTCGTAAAATTTCCTGATTTATTTTTAATATAAATGAGTCGAACAATTTTATTATGTTCACCAGATCAAAAGATATAATGATAAGAGGGTGCCTATTATAGACCATACAGCAAATAATCATTTAAATTTATGCAATGGCTCGCGGGAAAATACTCTTTATTTTGATTTACATTTTGCATATTGGTTCCAAATTTGATAAATAAGGTGTATAAGATGTACTCACCCAAGAATTAACTATTTAAGGAATGTGGAAATAAATAAATAGCTGCGTATTTCATATAAGCCTTATTTATTTTTTAAATTTCCCCCGTTCACACTAAAATGTTGTCATACGAATTGGTCACACTCTCCATAATACGCATATATATATATATATATATACCTTTGAATTGTTGCACGATCTACTTATATAAATCAGCTACTCCCCGAAATTTGGTTTATCGTAACAATCTTACCTTCCTTTGTATTCTCTTTTGAAACAAAGATTTCTCTCCTATTAAGCACGCGTTTAAGCGGTTTAAATCCACCGTGCCTTTGTCAGTTTTTCCAAATGTTACAAAAAACCTATTTCGTATAGGCACCACGACGTTGTTATTTTTACCCGGAATCTTTTCTCTGGTTTTTACTTTAAATATTTCGAAGTTTAAAAAAAACTGGACAATCTAATCCATCCAAACTGTTAGATTTATTTTTTTTTTTTAAAATAAATTTTGCCTTACTCTTCAAAATCACTCATACCTATTCTTTATAGTTCTATAAAGTACTATTGATAAATATTTTGTACTTTAGTCTTTTAACTTAATTTTCTTTTATAAGAAAATGGGGAAACGTTCTCCGGCGTTTTCAATAAAAATTCCCGAAAATAATTTTTTTTTCAATCATATATCAAAGGTATTTTTTACTTTCCTACTATATTTATATGAGTTTTCCTGAAAGTATTTACTGTCTGAATAGGAAGTCATTTTAGAAACAAAGTATTAGATAGTCTGTGCCAAAGGTTAGGGATAAAAACATCTCTACTCTTTAACTTATTATTCTCAGACCAATGGATTTGAGCTTTGTTGAAAGCAACAATTTGCCAAAGGGCTCCTTTATACAAACAATTTATCCTCAGCAACAAAATAATTTCAAGACCACATATTTTTAAAATAAGTTAAAGGCTATATAAATAACAAATTTATTTTACCTATAGAAATCTTCAATTACGCTTCCTAAATTATTACTTTGTGAATCACCTGTTTCCCCACCAACAAAATCTGACGAAGAATTTGAAATAGAATTGGATCGCTCAAGGAACGAGTTTAATCAATTCAATAAGGATTTGGATGAGTTGGCCCATTCCATGGAAAAATTGTTTGAAGATACTCCTGAATGGCTTACAAGTATAGAGGAAATCAAAAGAAAACAAGGTAAGGAATTTAATTTATATATGTATTTATTAATGAAGAAATTTAAGAGACTCAAATAATAAAAATTATTAACTTTAACATATAATTCAATATAACATTAGATAATGTAGAAGAATGTATAATGGCAACACAAGAAAAAATCTTCGAAAATGAAGTTCGTTTATCGAAACTACAGTTTTTTCATAATGAAGCACATGAGGAAGTTAACAATGATCTAAAAAGGATCCAAGAACAAATTTATGAGGTAAAAAAATGTACATAAAATCGAACTTAATTTAAATCTTTCATATGATAAATTAAAATTTTCTAATATTTAGATCCTTGACAAACATCGATGTTCGCGTTCTAATGTGACTAACCTTTGTAATAATCAAACAAGAACTACTGAACAACTTGATTATATGTTACAAGCTATACAAGAGTATGCTCGACTAATAGAAGAAGCTAGCCTCACTATTAAACATTTTGGAGATGTTGGTTCACCTATAAAATATGAGTCACTAGATTTATCCCCATTTCGACAATTCGAGGTAGATTTATACAATACAACATTGCTTTATAATTTTTTAATTATATTTTATTATTTTGACATTTTGTGCTAACACCCGATTGATGAAAGGGCAGCATTTCCTATTTCGACGACCAAATTCACAATTCAACACATTCCACACATTCCACACATGGTGTTTCGCCAGTTACGAAATCTTCAGAATCTCTTGAGTCACCAAGCGCTTCTTCATCAACTACCAATACAGCCGCAACCACTCCTACAAGTTTTATTACTGATTCCTCTGAATTTTCACCTCTTTCTCCTGAAGACCAATCTCCAAATAAACCGATACATCCGTTACCTCGCTATCAAATCAAACATCAAAAATTGTTGCTTTTAAGTATGCGACGTGCAGCTGTAGGATTAAAATTCCTTTTATATGCCAACAAATTAAATGATTATAAAAATGATTGCCCAGATAGCGATTGTGACCTGGATTTAGGATTATATGATGACTCATTAACTGAAGAAGTGGTTACGACTACTTATAAGGATGTTATTGTTCCTAAAAAAAGTGGAGATGTGGATGTGAATTGTAAAAGCAGCAGTGAATCTAGTACAAGTAGTGATAGTGGATGCGATAGTAACAACAGTGATAGTGGTGGAAGTGATAGCGAAAAAAGTAAAGATAATACTCCCGGAAATATATGTGTAACTATACGAAAAAGATCGCATATTGTTCATTCATATGATCTACTGCGATTCGACAAAAGAATGTTAGTTAAACAGCAAGGATGAACAAGAAAAAAAAAAAATTCAAAATCAACCCGTGAGAGGGATGGGATAATTAAAATTTGGACTTTATAATATTCATTAAAGAAAACATTTATTTTTAAACATTTAATTGATCACCCTTTACACACATCTTGGTTTTTTATTTTGGAATTTTTTTTTTAAAGAATTAAACGATGGAAATTGTATTTTTAGTAATCATTAAAATGATTGGCCTCTTATTTTACAATGAATGAGGTTAATGTTTTAAATTTAAGTTTAATTATATTTTTTTATTTTCATTTTTAATATAATTGAACATGCATCAAATATAACATAAACATCATTCATGGGAAATTCGCATTAGCATAGAAGTATAAGTAACAATAATCAATTAAGAAATCTTATACTTTTCATTTTTTTAAAAAAAAATTTTTATTTTTGAATATTTTAACAATAAATTTTGTTGGAAATTCTTTAGCATTGAAAATATAGAAACAATCAAATTCTTGCATTTATTATGAATTTACTAAAATAAAATTTATTTAATATTAAAAAATTATAACATTCAAAAAATAATAATTTCTATTTCTATTTGCAAAAAATTATCCTAAATATAGTTAAAAATCATGTGATAAGCTAAAACGTCCTCACAGAAAGGAACAAATTGCATAAAACTCGTTTATCCATTTACCCATTTGGCATACCGTATAAAAATGCTGGATAACTTCTGCTTTTTTTTTTTTATACTCACTTGCAAGCAAGTAAACTATAAAATTATCTAAAAATAAATGATTTTTTTTTATTCATCTGTCTATTCATTTTGTTCTTAATTAAAAACGTGATTTTTTTTTATTCATTCATGCATTCATTTTGTTCTGAATTGAATTTTTTTTCCTCCTCATGTCTTACATGAGAATAGGAGTAAAGCATAAAAACGTTATTATTTACAAACCACACCAACTTGTTTTTTAGTACTACCCTATCTTTTATATCATTTAGGTTTATAATTTCTCATACTGTAAAATAGGTGGACCTTCAATGCGTCAAGAATTTTTTAATGTATTTTGTATGGCTTTTTTTGTACCATGAGATTTTTTTTCAAATTTTTTTGACTGATTTCAATAATGAAAGACCTTGAATTTAATCAATTGGACACTGTGCGAATGTAATGGTTAATGAATATCAATCATGTTGTTAAATTCATTGGTCACAAACTATTCTTGAAATGAAAAAATGAAATTGGTGGGAGTTCAAATAGCTATTTCATATGTACATAAATCACTAAATATTTATTTTTTTTATTTTTTATTAATCGAATTGTCTATCATACTTCTTGTTATTGCTGCTGTGTTCTGAGGAGCATTTATACTTTTGAACACTAGTTTTATAGTTTTGATGAAAAAAATGTTATAACCATATTTTCGTGCATGTATTATACAAATATTTCCTAATCAATAAATACATGAAATTGGTTAACAGAAGGCTAATCAAAATTTTTTATTCAAGGGAAAGAACTAGTAACGGATGTGATTTTTTTCAGAGATATAATGCTAAACCATACATCACCTTCGTACCGAAAAAAACCTTGCACCAAAACTTTTTTGTATATGAAACCAATTTAAGAGGATGGTATGTATATGTATGAAATATATATTGATTACGAAACATTACAATAAAAACTGTAAACATCACAAGAGAGGAATATAATAAAAATTTTGATTGATATTGGAAGGTTAATAATATTGTTTTTGATGACTTATGTAATTCAAACAATAATGGTAAAGGAAAGTTGATGGAAAATTACAACAATGCTTATAGATTGAAAAGGATCATTCATTTTACATTTAGAATGGATCCAGAAATCAAATGGCCAAGTGAGATTAAAGGAAATGTTTTAATGCGCGCAAAGATCTACACTAGTGGAAAAAAATATATGGGAAACTCCATTGATTATAGCAAATTATTTGATTTAGTTTATTTACTCCAGCATGTCCTTCAAATAATACTAATATTTGCATTTAACAGGACTATACTTGAATTTTCTTCATTTTTGAAAAGGTACACAAACACATTTTCTGGAAAGGTTTCCATTGATAAATATTTTTTCCCAACTGCATGTCTGGAAAACCAAGTTTTTTTGAAAAAAAAAGAATAAAAGAATTAATATAATAATTCATTTGCTCCGCAATAGACTTGAGAAAGTAAGTAAAAAAAAACAGGTATTAAATTATTATGTGAATAAGCATTTCTTTCGTGGATTATTAAATCTTTATAACTTGTAAAAGTTTTGAAATAAAGTATTTATCGAGGGAAAGGAACATTTAAAATATAAAGGGGGATGCGGTAAAGAATTTGTTTTTGCTTAAGCATATTTATGGTAGTCGTTTGTTAAGACTGGCTTGCTCTCAGTTTCTTCGATTGGATGGAACTTTTAGAAATCCTTAATGTAACTTACATCCTCGATAAGTTTATCAAGTTTGTCGATGTACTTGTAGATTTGAATAAATTGTGATTTTGCACTTATTAGATAATGATCATTAAATCTTTATCGATTGGTGTAATTATTGTGTTTATCATGCTCCAGGCACCGTAAAACGAACTAGTACTCCTACTAATCCTATAAATCCTACAAAAGTACTATAATAAATAATACCTTGAAACTTATCAGATGCTTAATAGCCGAAGGAACCGAATCATCAATTTTATATAGTAAAAAGTTACGTTATTTATATCCTTAATAAAAAATTTACTATAAAACCATTACTAGTTATATTTTCACGAGAATATTATCTAACCGACCGTCTAACGATGGGCAAAATTCTTCGTGCATGTAAAATAAAAGGACTCAAATTTAAGATTTATTTACATAACGAATTAAGGATATTTTCCACCCGAGCCGTAATTTCCGAACCTAAGCAAAAATATGCAACCGCCCACGACGTACCGCCTGGACGAGACGGTTGTGGTTGAACATTTGCTTCTAGATTTGCATTCCGAGGACTTTACTAAGGTCATAAATACACAATTTTGTTTTATCTAGAATACCGAATAAAACCTGATCATTAATTGGAGTTATAATTGTGTTAGTATGTAGACAAATCTATGTATCACCGAACGTGTAATTTAGGATCTGTAATTATGTCATGCATGACTATCAAGTTTTTAAACTCATACAATGAAATATACAAAATTTCCTTTTTTGAAAAACAAACCAAAGAATAGTAGTTTCGATGATAAGCACTGAGCCATGAATGATCAGATTACATTATAAACTTTTTTTTCTCACCCCTTCACTTTTTTATACTCTAAATTTTCTTTTTTCATGTCTTTCTAATTTCAAGTTTACTATTATTGTCATTAAAGAATATTAAAGAATAAAATATTAACCTTTTTTGTTCTTTTCTTTTTCATATATATTAGGACGATATACTTAGATTTGAGGTGCGCGTTTTTGTCAATTTGTAAGTTTAGAAGAAAGAAGATTTCAGAAGGTTATGGAAGAAAATATTTTCTTAATTAATAAAATAAAATTTTGAAAGAAGTATTGAAATTAATTAAAAAGTGTTCATTACATATCATTTTGGTATACATCTGAAAAAAAAACAAAAAATAAATGCATAATTTTACTTCGTTTGAATGGTTAAAAAATAAGTGACATTTTTGAGACAAACTAGTGTTTGAGGGACGAGTTATTCTTCGAAGTTTTTTGCTGTTAAATTCTTTGAGATAAATTATTATTGTAGATGGGACATAAAGTTTGATGAAAATTGAGAATAGATAGATAGATAGATATCATTTAAATATTTTGCGTCTATCTTTCATTTCAGGATTATCAATATCACCACTAAATCCTTTAACACTTTCAAATAATCGATGGTGAAAATTCTAAAGTAGAATGAATGAATGAAATCAATGGAAAGAACAAAAAATAGATATGTTCGGAGGAAAATGTCAGACCAAGTAAATCGAACAAATCAGAACAAGGAATGATTATCTAAAATAAAAATTATCATTCACTTTAATCATAGTAATAATTAAAAGTATAATACTCGTCTCGAAGTATTAATGATTCAGATGACTTTTCCGATTCGTCGATAACACCAGAATGTAGAATCTATTTATAAAATTAATTCGAAAGAATGAGAATTTAACACTTTCTTTAAATAATTTAATTAATGCAAAACAGGGGATGAAAATGTTGAAAAAGCATAAAAAACAGAAAATTTCCATTAAAATTATGCTGAAGTCTATGGCCTAACAATACTAAGAAAAAAGTGTCAATGGAATAAATAGAATAAGAGTTGTATTTTCACCAACTGACAGAAATTTTCTTGTTGGTCTGGTAAATTGAAATTTTTAAAATATGATGCATTCAGAAAGTTATGACAGTATTTCAGTATTGGTTACTGCATATTATAGTTATGATTGAGTTCAAAATGTACCATATTCTAATGTAAAATCTATTATCTTAGTCTAGTTAAAGTCCATTGCGAAATTATTATTATTATTTTTTTTGGCATATAACTGGAAGAATAACATCAAAACAGTTTATTTTTGATATTAATTTCACATATGTAATTATTAATGATGTTAGCCATTATTTGGATGAAAATTGAATAGAATACTTTCAATCCACTGAATGTTGGCTGAATAGAGTTTACTAAAAAGCTCTAGACAACAAACCAGGATCAAAAGAATGATACTATTAGGACAAGAAAACATTATATGTTATTTATTCATTTTCATTTGGTGTTAAAGAAAATAGATTAACTTATAAATGCTATGTAATTGAACAAAATTTTGACAAACCTTAGCCATATTGTTTATTTATTTGAATATCTTCAAATGATTCAACAATTTCGCGTAAAACATCCATCTCATTTTTTCTTGTAATTGGACCTGATGTCTTTACAAGTAACTTGAAAATGTCATGTTAGCATTCTGTGTGAACTGCAACCAGATTACAAACGGAAACTACATGGCCGACAATTTCATTTAATTTATCATCAGACATCAGTGCATTTAGCTTTAACTTACAAGTTTCAACAATAAAATTTAATTCGCGATTCGTGTAAGAACCGACAATTTTATTAATAAAAATTAGGGATATGTATAATATAATATTTATTAGCAAGACGGAATCCAAAAAATATAGTAAATTTAACAAATAAATTTTTGTTTCTTATATAAAATTATTTCTCTTGATTCTAAAAGTAGTCAAATAACATATTTACTGACCATATTATTATTATTTATTTTAAGAAATCATACTTTGCCCATTTTCTACGGATCACGAATTAAGTATTTTGGTTTTATCTTTTATTATACTATAGTCTGTGGGTTCGATAGTGATTTCCGTCCTACCAACATCAACTAAAAAATTCCGTTTTGATGTTCTTTTGTAATGGTAGGAGTTCAGTAGATTTTACCTAAGTAATTTGCATTGTTCACTTGATCGCCACGAACAAATTCAATTCATTGTCAAGCGCAGATTTCCATATCTTATTTTAAAGCGAAGGTAACAAAAATCAGTAATAATATTTTATCCAGGAAATTAAGCAGTGTCTGCATCAATTCAATCTAAACGAACAAGTAAAGGATCAAATAATTTTGGTAAAAAGACTAACAATGAAAAGTTATAAAATTAATTCTTTAATAATTTTATTTGTATCTCATTTGCATCAATAAAGTTACTGGTTAAAAAATGATATAAATAATGCCATGACAAACTAAAGATAAGCTAGAAACCAAGCATCAGATTTTTTGACGATTGACTTGCTAATTGCAAATACTATGTAATGAAAACTTTAATAAAGTAACTAAGGCAGATGCTCATTTACTAGCCTTGTGAATCAATGGATTTACAAAACTGTCATTTCAAATTTCTTCAATATTCTTATAATTGTTGTCAGATGACGCTCGTTTGGCAACTACTTCTATTGCTAGTCTTTTTCTTTTCTCCATCTCCCATGGTATTTGTAATTGCAGCACTTCAGTACTTTCTACTAATGTTTCAATAAAAGACAAAGTTTAGGGCAGCAGCTTTTTAAAATGCATACTTAATCATGCATACTTAATTGGGTTGTACCCCACCGCTTCATTGATAATAGAAATGGACTGAATAGGTCACGCTCTACTCTATGTTCCCAACGCCTTAGTTATGAAGTCGTTACCTATATAAGTGTTTCTCGTAATCTTAGTACGCCTTCTTCCCGCAACTTCCAGAACTCGGTCGCTCTCCTCAGCTTTATCCAACTGTTCTATTAATGTCGTCTTCGCTCCGCTCAATTCACATTCGATTTTTTGGATGCTAGCCGTGGTTTTTTATGGTGTGGGAAGGTGACTCATTAATATACTTTAATATACTGACAGTCGGATTTTTCGTTAGTCTTGGAGCAAAAAAAAAATAACGAAAATAAAATAGGGTATATCGTAATACTACTCAATGGCTTGCACTATATTCATTTAGATGATATGAAAAATATTGCATATGATTTATTAAATATGATATGTTATGTTTAACACTTAAATAATAATAGCAGTATGTACTTATTAAATATAAATTTTTGTATAATGATGATTTCTAATTTTTTTTTCAAAAAATTGGCTCTTAAATATTTTTCAAAAAGAATGTTTTAACTTGCAAGTCTTGTAAGACCATTTTATGAAGGGGTGAAAAATATTTCGTGCCATTTTTTGAATGAAAGTTCATGACATAATAAAAATGATTCTATATACAAATATAATTTAATTAACCCAATAAATATAAATATATAATTGTCAATATAAAATGTCCCATAAAAACCCAATAAGTCAAATGTATGAATTTTTTTTTTGAAAAATTGTTCAATGGAGAATTAATGATTTAATAAATTTTGTAATATTAATTCGGCCAAAAGATTTTATCCCATATCGAGTTTTCTTTTTCTCTGTCGTTAATATCTCCGCCAGATTCCCTTCCACTATCCGCATTATTAGGAGTAGATGATGATGCTAAATGATGTCGTAATCGACTAGTCAAATTGTTAGTACTTGTTGATAAACGTAACTGTCTTGGATTCATGGTAGCTACCGGAAGGGACGGAACGGCCGTTGATTGGGATGTTGGAGCTTCACCCGAACCAGTGTGAATGACTGTCGAAGATATTGATCTCGTAGATGTTGTTGTTGTTGTTGTATCTGCCAATAATCCCGTTTCGTTAAAAAGAGAAAGTCTTTCTTTGCGATCAATTTCACCGTTATCGACGCTCGCAATGCGTCGTGGATGTCGAGATAAAAAAGAATTAGAATTATTCACGCGGCCGGGAGTTCCTTGTTTTGTCTTCGAAGTTTCTAATGTGCTTCCTGGCTTTTCCTTCGATTCGTTATTAAATGAATTATTTTTACCAACGAACAGTTGTCTCAAAAACGAGACAGCAGATGCGTCACTTTCCCTTCTTTTTGAAACTCTTAACATAGTTGGCGTATTTGTGAATGAATCTAGATTACGGTCAATGTAATAATTGTCCTCAGAAAAAGTATCGATACTATCAACAGAAACATCACATTCGTGCGAGAAGTCAACAGATAATCGTCGGGTATGGTGACGGGTATTAGGTGGACGTTGAACTTTTCCCTTATCGGCTCCTCCAAAGACTCGACTAAGATAAGCACCAAATCCTTCATCATTGGATTGAGTATTTCGTCTGTTTCTTTCTCTTCTTTCTAATATCTCATCGTCATTCATTTCATTTAAAATGCTCTTGTCAAATTCTTCTTCTGCTTTACGTCGACTTTCTTCTACCTTTTGTACATATGATACCTGTACATCATTAACCATCATACGCAACTTTCCTATTTCTGACAACAGGTCTTGTATTAGATGGACTAATGGTAAAAAATCTCCAGGTGAAAAGGAATAAAGGTCTTCTTTATTTTGACCATCCGAGATTCCCTTTTCGGGGGCTTTCATGTCATCATTAATACGAAAATCTTCCACCCATCGGAATCGCTCTCTAAGAATCTCAACATCGGTTAAAATACTTTCAATTAAATTATTGCTCAAATTAGTTAATTCTAAAATATCGAACGTCCTTTTTAATCTGCGGTTTAGAGCTAATAGGTCAGTATCCTTCATGCGATCTATAATGGAACTAGCTTGGTTAAAGAGATGTTGATAGGGATTCTGTTGTTTAGGAGATTCTGGTGGTTTATGTGCGTTTTTAGATTCTTCAGTAGATGTAATCATAATGGAAGGAACGTGAATAGTTGTATGATGTGTTGTTGTTGAGGTACGACGAGAATGGATAGATTTTGTATCAGCAGTAGACAATCCATGTTCCACTTCATTAGCCAACGCGGCAGCTTCTGCAGCAGAAAAATTCGCTTCATCAACCAATACCTCTTCAACGAATTCTTTTACCGGCGAATTAGAGCGATTTTTACCTTTAATTTTGTCACCATTTAAATTATCAATAGAAGTTTCTTGAATTCCAGTTTCAGCTTCGTTTCCGGATGCTTCAACTTGCTGTAAATTCTTTTGTTGTTGTTCTTTTGCAACATCAGAACGCCAAACTTCCATCATATGTTTACGCTCTTTTGGTCCTAGGGTAGCAAATTTAGGATTCTTGAAGGCAGGTATTGAGAGATCTTCCGATAAAACTTTTGATTTTGGAATATCTGCAGGTGAGTTATTGGAAGATTGGGGAACCTTAATGGATAAAGAACTTGCCTTGTCCAATGCGAGACGTTTATGAACAACGGCCAATGGAGAGGGTTGCGTAGGTTTGTGCTGTTTGCTTGTTGATGCAGTTGGAGGTAACTTAGGTGAACTTGCTCGTTTGGGAGGATTTAATGGAGTAGGGGCAGGACGGCGAATGTTTAATTTTAAGTCGGCTCCTCTTCTTGCCCCGAGGGATTTCTTTTCCTGGATTTTTTCGTCGTCTTCTTGAACCTTATTGGTCACATCCGAATTATCAACGGTGGACCTCTTGAGACCAGCAGACAATAAGGATACGCCCGGTTTTTGTGTTGTTGAAAGATTAAAATCCGGAGAAGAAAACGTCCGCACCTTTTTCTTTGCATCCTGTCTGACATCTACTTTATTTTTCAATTCTCTACCACCTGTCTTCTTTGATTGAACTGCTTTGTTACTCTTGACAAATACATCGTCTAATCTGTTACCGTAATTCTTTTCCAAATTTTCGTCGTCCTATGAATTTAAATTTATCAAGCCCCGTAAAATTAGAAAAATTATAAAACAATCATAATATAATTTGATTTAATTGTAAAAAAAAAATTTATAATATCTAATTAATTTGAATTCATCATCTTATATCCTATAATAATAATGTGTGATCTTAACATCATCCTTAAAATCACATGATGAATATAACGAACCTCGACGTTTCTTTCTTCTTCAGACTCCCCACTATAACTCAATTCTGAGTTCGAAAGTCCCCCAGATCTTACACGTTTCTTAATAGAGCCTTCGGAGTGAACATCATCCGGTTTAATTTGTTCTCCATACTCAACGGATACTTTTTTATCCTTTTTCAAATTATGTCCTATCCCTTTAGTTCCTTTTCGTTTAGTCTTTTTCATAAGGTATTTCTCTAGCTCGCCGAATACACTTCCTCGAACAATATCATTATTTTCGTTGGGATAGTGATGGTGATGATGATGATGATGATGATGGTGTAAAGGATTTGAACTAGATAACACGGAAGATGAAACAACTGATCCTACAGGAGAGTGGACAGAAGCATCCACACCCATGCTATTAAATGTATTATATGAACCTTGGCCAAGTGAGGATGATAAAATACTGGAGGCCATATGAGGATGAATTTGTCGAGCGCCAATACCTGGTACGATATTGGATTCATCAGCGAGTTCTTCTATATGGCCCGCGTTTGATGCACTATCGCCTACACTTGCTATATCATCAAGGACATGTGCAGGGAAGTTTCGATTGAAAGGAGAAGTAAAGTAACCTTGCGTATAACTAGCCGAATATGGGTATCCAGTTGTATTTGCTGTTTCTAATTCCTCAATGCGGATTTGCAAAGTGCTCACTTCGTTACGTGATTCAGAAAGAAGATCACAGTATTCGTTGACTTCCGATTTTAATTTATTATTAGATGATAAAAGTTCTTTTATTAAATTAATAAGATGTGGATTTGCTTCGTTGTTAGGAGTGGATGACTAAAATGAATAAAGGATAATATTGTAAATAAAATCAGAATTTCATATTTTATAGATATATTAAAGAATATATTACATACGTGGATTTCCTTATTTCGTTCATTTGATTCACGGAGCATAGCAACTGCTTCTAATCTTCCTTTTGATTTTTGGGTTTCTACTTGTTCTAATTTTAATTGTTCATATTCATCGTAAATTTCATCTAATTATGTAAGAAATTTATTGATATATCTATTAACATTGTAATATCAATTTACAATAATAGAAATTTATTTATTTTTATTTTTATTTTTTTAAATAGTTACCAAATTTACTCTTTAATTTCTTTGCATTTGCTTCAGCTGTATGTTCAGCTTTTCTCGAAATTGCAAGTTCTTGTTTTAAATCTTCTAATTGTCTACTGAGAATCTCTTCTCTTTCTTCACTTTTCTCCCCTTTAAGATTATTTGCCATCAATCGTCTGATCTCATTGTCACGCTTTTCGAGCTCCTTATTCGATTCCAAAATTCTTACATCACGTGATTCTAGCGCATCGGAGAGTAATTCAACTTTCTGTAAGAAATTAAAAATTTGATTTCAAAAACCAAATCAACAGAAAAAAAAACTCTCAGAATTAAAATAACATTGTATTAATTACGCTTTCTAAAATTATTTTATTCTTTAGAGCTTCGTCTCTTTCCAATGTTATATTTCGTTCTGATTGACTAATTTCGTCTATCCTATTTTCGTATTCTTGAACTTTTTGTTCAGCGCGCGCACACTGAATTGATCCGTTATGAAAAAAATTATAAATGTAGATAAAATTTGTAAACACGTTTATATATACATATATATATATATTTATATATATATATAGAAATAAAAGAAATCTAAAAAATATAATGCATTAAACATTTGAGTTCAACCTGTTGTTCTAACGCTCTCTGAAATTCTTCCGTTTGTCTTTGAGAAACTTCATGCTTTTCTAATAAGACCTGTCCAACCTCTGTAAAAGGAAATATGTTGATAAGTTAATATTTGCCAACCTATTTGATGGCTCAATATAATTATTTACATTGTAAGAATACTTTTTTAATAACATCTATTATATAACTAATATTTAAGGATTTTCAAACAATATTGTTCAATGTATTATACCAGAGTTTATCAATTATAAAATTCTTTAATTTCTCTGCATTCTTTATTTTTATATTACTTAATAAAGTTTAACATTGAAGTAAGGAATAAATTACACATTTCAAATTTGATTATCTTAAAAAAGATTTTTTTTTTTTATGTAAGTTTATACTTTAATAACTTTTTTACTTACCAGCAGCCAATCTCAACTCGTCTTCTAAAGAGCTTATGCTCCTTAGAAACGTATCAAGGTTTTGACAGTCATCTTTACCGCAACAACATTGAATAAGCACGGGAGACCTAGGGGCGGGTGAAGGTGAAAATGTTCCCCAAAAAGGATTACCAGTTTGAGTAATGCTGTTGATGCGAGATCGTGAAGTAATATTAGAACTTTCGTCGTTACTTTCATTCTCCGCTTCCTGTTGTGCCTGTTGCGTTGACATAAGTCGTCGAGACAGATCCGTAGGATTTGGAAAAGAGCTGCCCAGTCCTGAAACTTGGCTGCCCGGGCTATGGTAATCCATGAGAATGAATTACCAAGCTAAAAAAGAGAAATAAAAAGATTGGACAAGAGTAGGTGGTAAATTAGATTGATTATTTAAAAAAGTATTTAAGATTTTCGTTTGCGTTGGGCAGTTGGGTTTGGACAGAAACACATTGGATGTCAGTGAATCTATCACCCCAACGCTTAAAAGAAGTTTTTTAGTTTTTTCTATTCTCAAACTCGTGTCGTTTTTACGGGGGGGGAGGAAGTTTAATTTTAATATCTGGTTGAGGGATAAGGAAGGGTTTGTTCACTTGTTTGTGAAACCTCCAAATTTGTTGAAAATAGGGGCGCAAATTATACTATCAACCCGCATATAGTGAGAAACAAACTAAAGGTCCAGAATTTTTTTTATATGGAAGTCTTGTGTCTTGCACATAGAATAAATCCGAATAAATCTGTCACCATTATGATCTATTTCATTCATCACATTACTTTAATTAATTGTTAATTTGAAATTCAAAATATTGATTCTGCCGCTATCTTCCGTACAAATATACAAATATATTCCTTATCACTAGATATCTCACTCTCTCGCGAGGTCATCTTCGTGAAGATGATCAACTATTTGTTTCCGCATTCATGAAACTTAAAATATAGATTCATACTAAAATAGTACAAGATGCATTGTAACACATGTACATTTGCCACCTACCCTTCTCATATAACACTCAGCCTCCAAAGATAAATTATTATTATAATTTATTAATATGTAATTCTATTTCTTCCACGAATTTTGAAAAGGTTCATTTTTAAAGTTTAAAAAGCCCATGATAGACGAGGTACGTTAATCATGAATAGAAAAATATTAAAAATATTACGTACTTTTGATCGATTAAGTACCTTGTTTTCTTATTTTAGGTATAAATAAAAAAATAAATAAAAAAATGATTTTCGATTATCATGTTACTTTGTTTGAACGATAATCAAATTTTACATTTAGGTAAAAAATGGGGTAATCACGGTAATCACGGTAATCACGATAATCACGTAATCACGGTAATCACGTAATCCCCATTTCAGGAGGAGACGACACGTGAAAGTATTGGATCATATGAACAATCTGGTGATATATCTTCAATTCTAAAAAACTCTAGTTTCAAGATGTCAGGTCGTCAAGGTAAACTTAGTTGGGTTTAAAAGTCTATAAAGAAAAATTCTTTTTGAAATTAAAATAATATTTTGTTATTTCCTAATAGGTGGTAAACTAAAACCACTTAAGAAAGAGAAAAAGAAATCAAATGACTTAGATGAGGTAAGAACTTTTAACAATCTATCTTTGGAAATACTTAGATCTTTCCTTAGAAAAAGCTTTATTTGGTAGATAATCTTTGTAAACAAGTTTTTTTTTATGTTAATTTCAGGATGATCTGGAATTCAAAAAGAAACAACAAGAAGAACAAAAAAAGATAAAAGACTTAAAAGAAAAAGCTCAAAAAGGTGGTCCTTTAGGTAAGTCCTAATCATTAGATCTAGATTCATTATTTCTTTATTTGTTTGTTGTATTAATCATCTTTTATTACAATATATTTATATATTTATTTAGTTGGTGGTGGTATTAAGAAATCCAAAAAGAAATAAAATATTTTTTTAGTATAATTCGGAATAATAAAAAAAAAGAAGAGAGAATAAAGCAGTATAAATGAATTATAAATGCATAATAAAACACATAGAATGAAATAAAGTAATATTGTTAAACTTTGTTATCAAAGTACTTTTTTTTTTGATTAAATTTAATATTTATTTAATATTTATTTAATATTTATTTAATAATTTATTATTATTATTATTGAACCATTACAAAATCTTACAAAATCTTACAAAATCTTACCCGTATTAAAAATAATTATTTAGAAATATTTTTTAATAATTATAATATTTACAATTGTTGAGTTTTTTAAAGCATCCTTTATAATATATAAAAAGACTATCAAAAAGCGTAACTGGTAATAATAAATTTAAATTTCTTTATTATCTTTCAAATATCTTACTTATTAATGATTAAGATAATTACAGCAGTGACCTTTGTCTGTATATTCTCAAAATAATAATCTATTGACTATTATTAACTTTGTGTAAAACAAAAAAAAAGGTTACAAAAAAAGGTTTCAAAAAAATTTAAGTTAATATTTCACCTTTGTTGAAAAATTGACAAAATTCAAAATTTCTAATTCTTTTAAACTGTAACCCATTCCCTATTAACATCCTCCATCAATACTTCTTTCTTCAGAAATTCACCAATCATGTCAAAATAGTCAGGTTGCATACATGTATCATTATGACTACCGCAGACGAATTCTTTGAATACTTTTGTTTCAGTTATTGATATATCATATAACTCTTTCATGTGTGATGGTGGTATTATTTCATCTTGTTTTCCAGATAAAAATAATATTGGGGTATGTGCAATTTGTTGTATATATTTTTCAGAAGGCCAAATTTGATGACAAAGAAATGCAATATAACGAAGTTGTGGTATAACGTTTGGTATTACTTTTGGCTAAGAAGGAGAAAAAAAGTAGATGATTAATTATTTAATATTGTGCATTGTGACAAATAATATTACCAAAAATAATAACTTACAATACTCAAAAATGTATTTTCCAAAATCAAGCCACTGAACTAAAAATATTTTAAAATATAATAAATTATAATAAAATGTTATCAAAAAATAATATTAAAAAATATATATTAAATAAAAGTTTAACCCAAATGAAATTTATAAAAAAATTTACCTTATCTTCATTTCTCGAAACAAGATCAATTGATACGGCTCCACCAAGTGATTGTCCATACGCTACCAGTTTCGTATGTTTTAATACTTCATCATTCAACACATAGTCAAGCAACGCCTAGACATAACAAATAAGAACTTTAAATTATGTCAGATATTGTAATTACTTTAAAAAAGAACCTTACTTGTGCATCAATTCGAATCCCTTTTTCGTTAGCCTTCCCTTCACTTAAACCATATCTATATTAAAAAAATATTTTTTTGATCTATATTTAATGATTATATTTAAAAAGCAAATATCAATAATAATAATTTATAATAATTTTACCCTCTGTAGGAAACCAATGCAACATTACACTTGAAATATGAATAAAATTTTTGTGCAATTGGTAAGCGATGTCCCTATAATGAATTTTTATTTAAAATAAATTATAAAATATATATATATAATATAAATATAAATTAAAAAGGTAAAAAAAAAAAAACACTGCAAACAATTGTTGGCTTACCATATTTCCAGCATTGGCCTTATATCAATCATTTTGTATCAATTATAAATTATAAAATAAATCATAAAATAAATTATTATAAAATAAAATTAGAAAATTAGAAAATAAAATTGTTAATAATTTCCAATCCTCTAACATTCTAACATATAACTTCCCCCTACATTTTCTGTTCCAAATGATTTGAATGTCATATTTAAGTGTTGGAGAAGAAGTGTGGAGAAAGGATATTATTACTTACATGAAAATATAAAATGGTGGGTCTATTCTTGGCATCAACAAGTACTTTACAAATATATGCTCTAATTTTAAGTCCATCTTTTGTTTTCAAGATTACCTCGGAATAATTCATACCATATTCAGATGGTTTTGCTACCTATAATAATATTTATTTATTTATTTTTTAATCAAGAAATTAATGATAGAGTATCAAACATAAAATTATAAAAAAAAAATACTAACAAGTTCTCTTGATCCTTGAGGAAATCTAGACGGATAAATTAAATCACACTGGAAATGGTATAATAAACCAGCAGTAGTTAAAATAAACAATGAACTACTGGTTATGAATAATTGTACGTAAGATGGTATGTAATCCGGTAAGAAAAACATTTTTCATATATTATCGTTAGTTGAATCTTGAGTATTTATGAATGAAAAAAAAAAGTATTATCACTTTCAACTATTGTTATTTGATCATGAATTTCTTCTACAAAAAACAAAAGAATCGTTAAATAAATTAGAGGGAGGAAAATGTTACAACGAACTCGGGAGAAGTGCTATCTTAATGCTATTTTATAGGCACGTGTAGGTGCACCAGATGTATGGATCGGCAATCGAAAATCAAAAGATTTAAATATTCACGTGAAATAAACATCTTCGCGAACAATACCTATATATAATCACCACCTCAGGACCAAATTTTGGTAGTGATTATAAGCAAATGTGATATTACATAAAAAACCTATATATGTAGCAGACATAAACATAAAATCAACATAAAATAATAACAAATAAAAATAAATGAAATTCGAATTTAAATTTTATGAACCAATCTAATAGGATAATTTCAGTTGTCATGTTATCCAAAGAGGTGATATCAAGGTTCCAAATTATTCGGCTGAACATGTTCAAACCATTACGGAATCCACATGCTCCATATGAAATATTTTACGACACCACACTGGTAGTGCTTGCTTAGCCTTCCCCAATTCCTATTAAACACCAAGAAGAGTATGAAAAGATTGAAAATATTTCATTTCGATCTGTATTTTTTTTTAAAAAAGAAGAGGTGACAAAAAATATTATCATCTAAAAAATCGTAAGGAAGTTGACAAATTATGATCTATCTGTAAATCATAATTGGAAAAAAGTAAATCTAGAACTTTCAACTCGTCTAAAGGTCTAAGTTCCAATTTATTCAATTCATATAATATACTCGGACGATAAAGGGATGATATTTTAGTTTTGAATTAAAGTTCACTGAATCATTACCTTTGAATCAAATTTTCAATTTTACAATTTAAATTTTTTATATTTCATTCGTGTGCAATTTTTTTTTTATAATAATAATAATTTGATCTTTTATTTATTTAAAAATAAAAAAATTCATCTGTCAAATAATTTAAATAATTGCGATATAGAAAATATATCCGATAATAAAAATCTCAACGTTAATAGACAATTAATCACATGACTCAATCTATGATGTGAGTTATGCCCGACAAGTTATCATAACTTTGGCCAAATCTTGGGCTTAATTTTTATCATGATTTAAGTTTAGGAAACTCACGTGAGAGATTTCAAGAATTCGGCATTATTACAAAATGAAACAAGGGATAAAGAAAATTATTCTTAAAACAAGGAACTGTATTTTCACAAGGATATTACGATTAATACAATTAATACAATCAATACAATTAAATGCAATTAATGATACAGTTCAATATAGGGGGATTTTTCACAAAAAAAAAAAAAAATTGGTAATATGAAAATTAAATGGACAGATTTAATCCTATGTAACGGGATACCATTTTATTGAAAATTTTTAATCAATTAAAAACTGTTATCGGCTGACTCTCCTTCATTAAATAAAAATTTACGGATTTATTTACATATTTGACTATTAATTCTAATTATTATCTCAAACTGGTTTCATGATTATATTATTTTTTTAAAAAATCTTTACTTAAACGTTTTGTCATGCGTGACATTATTCATATATTCTTTTTTTATCAAAATGCACATCTGAGTTATTAGAACATTAATCGTTTTATGTGTGACGAGCATTAACGCTTAACACACAATTTCATTGTTATAACTTTATACATCGCATGTTTTTTTTCTTTGTTATGTCTCTGAATAAAGCAATATTTTTTTTCTATTATCTTGTTAAATGATGAATATTTGGCAAATAATTAATCTTGCTTTTGACAAGTATTTTTTTTAAAAAAAGGTGAGATTAACAAATAAAACGTGGTTTATCAAGGCAGGAAGGAGGGAAAAAGGCGCTCACCACCAAATGTTTATCAAACAGAAATATTTTCAGAAATATTTTTGTTGTTTGGTAAACAAAGAAACAGATCAAAATATATATAGAAATATTTATACAATATGGTTTTTTTTTAATGTAAAAATTTGATTCTCAAAATAGAACAAAGAACAAGAATTTGTTGCAAATTTGTAAATTATTCATCATCCGATAATACTATAATAATAAGAGCGTCTTCGATTCGCACCACACCCAAGGTATATATAAAAAAAAAAGCATGGAATGAGAATAAGGAATTTTAGATTATTATTATAAATAGAGATTTTCTGTAACAATTCTCAATCAATCAAAAATTTTTTTTTCGAAGTTCAAACAAGAATCAATATTAAATTATTTCCTAAATATCTTAAAGTTATTATTAATTTAAACATTATCATTCAACGTTAAAATTAAATTTGATGATTGGTTCAAATAGTTTATTTGTTTAAAAAAATTCATACTTTAATTTTCTGAAATGACAATATAAAAAAAGAAAATATTGCCTTTGTTAAATTTATTACAATTATAGTAATTACTATTATTTTTGTCAACAATTGCATGGACTATCGGACTATGAAGAAGAAAGAAGGAATGTAATAAATATAATGGACATGTTTTAAGGTTTGCTAATCGTATCACAACTATCATTGTTTAAAAATTCATTAATTGATATTATTGATATTATTGATATTATTGATATTATTGATTAATATTATCATGTAACCTTAAAGTGAACTTTAAATATAGAAATCTAAATGAAATCTTACAGAAAATCCATTTTTTTTTTTAAATTAGATACAAAAATCCTTTTTTTTGAAGATTTCAGTGGTTAAATCACGTGTTACTCCTATAAATGCTACTACTATTATTATTATTATATTAATATTAACTCGTTATAATTTTTATATTATGTATTAATATTAATATTGTATTTGTTAATTTTCATTATTTCATTTTTATCCATTTTGACAATTATTATTATTTTATTTTATTTAAAGAAATTTCATTGTAAATTTCTCTTGAGACATAATTTTTTTTTTTTTATAAAAATTATTAAACATCGGTTATCAATATAATTCGTGCCTGAAGGAGTTTATAATGTTTCACTATCTCATTCAAAATAATAATATTTTACACATGGTTGTTGATTTTTTTTAAAGATAATTACTCATATTTACTTATATTTACTTATATTTATTTATAATTTATGCCATAAAAAGTGTTAATGAAGGGGGGGCAATAAAAAATAACATTTTTAGCTTTCATTGTTTTCTATTGTTTAAAGTTATGGAGTGAATAGATTATTATTGTACGTATACACAAAATTATCATGAAATGTTGTAAAACATTGTACAATTTGTAAAGAGAGGGAAAAAAAAGATAATTTAATTTGATACTTGCTTGTTAGTTTCATTATATTCATTATGTTCATTATATTCATTTATTTATTTATTATTATTATTATTTTTTGTGTTGTTACAAATTAATTATTTTGTAATTTATGTAAATGTAAATGTATGTAAAATTTATGTAATTTGTAAGATCATAATTTTAGATTCGTTCTAAAAAAACCCATTGATAATAATTATTATTTATTTTTTTTTTTTTCTTGGAATTAATGAATGATGATCACGGATTTAAGTAGTTTTTTTTTGACTTCATACAAACAAAAACTTGCCATATTAAGACTCCATTATTATTGTATTTTTTTTTTTTTTCATTACTTTCATTATTACTTTTTTTGCTCTTTGAGAATTAACGATAACTAAGAAGTAAGAAATAAAGATTTACCAATTATAAATAATTCGTATAAAAAGAAAGTTAACTTAATAAATTTTTAATTATAATTTAAATATTTTAATTAAATGAAAAAAAAAGTCCATTATAATAATTTTTATAATATTTGTTTATAAAAATAAATTCATAATATAATTTATAATTTATCATCGTGCAGTCTTATAATAAGGACAATCAAACATAAACATTTATAGGTTTTCCCGCCTTTCATTAAAAAATTAAAACATAAATTTATTAAGAAGGGGTGATTTATCCAACCAATCCGATTCCTGCATCCCCAAAAAAAACACAATGTATATTATGTGAGGTGAAAATTTTTTATCCATACACGGGTGCACATTAACACTTTTTCCCGCCAAGAAAGCCCCCCCCCCCGCATAATTCAATATTATCCAATATAATAAAGATAATCCAAATGTATTCCAATATAATAAATAAATTGATTTTTTATTTAATTTTTATTTACTCATTTATTTATTTGTTTAACTTTATTATTTACACTATTTTAACACATCATTTGGCATTTAATTAGAACATGCATTCTTGATTACGACTATTCGTGTGTTCCGATTATTATAATTTCTTTCACGCAGATGGATAATATATATATATAATATATAACTATATTTATGTATGTTTGTATAATGTTTATATAATGTTTATATATTTTATATATTTGTATAGTTTATGCATATTTACATAATATATAAAAATATTTATATATAACTTAATTTAGTTTATATGGCATTTACACGATAGACAGAATTTATATATATTATATATTATATATAATATATAGAATTTTACACAATATATATAACATTTACACAACGCAATGTATATATAATACATAGGAATCATTTACATTTGTAGCATTGAGTTCATGGCATTCATGGCATTTATAGAATTAATGATAGTAAATATATGGGTTATTGTTTACTTTATAGATAATATAGTCCACCGATTTTATTTTCTAAGTGTACCACAAGTAAATAAATTTTAATAAATTTCGATGAATTAATTTATGCATAATTTCGTATTTTGTTATTATTATTATTATTATTATTGATGTTGTTGTTGTTGTTGTTGTTGTTTCGTGCTGCCTCACGTATTTAATTTTTACGATAGTAGGGAAAGTACATGTATTTCTAATTTTGTTTTGTTGTTGTTGTTCTTCCTATTATTATTACGCGTCATTATGTTATACATGAGTACCGCAGTACATTTTAAAACGCGTGCGCAGGCATAATAAAGATTAATTACCTTTATGTAATATTCATTAAAA